CTTGTCTTTACCCCGTCTTGTGTCCTTTTGCCTTTATACATTAAATCCGGCCGTTCTAAGGCCCGGTAATACGTCTTAGTTATTTTCTTATCATTTACTTAAGTTCTGCGTGTTGGGCATCTACAGTAATCCTGACAGAATCCCTCGAATGTCACATTTGACTGCATGTTAGAAATATGGCTAAGTCAAAAGCAGTGTTAATTTTAGCGACAAATTTCAATTTAGTTTCAGTCTGTCACGGTAGTTTACCCCTATACACAGGATTTACTCCAACAATCGACAGATAGAGCAGATACGGCTTACCGAACCTTAGAATGGCCGGACTCGCCGTAAAGCAGAGAATAGACAGAGTCAAGAACAAGCCGAGGTCAAGGGAACAAAGACAGCGAGAACAAAAACTAGCCAAGGTCTGGTACACAGTAGTCAGTAAGCCGGCAAACAAGACAAAACAGGGATAGAGAGATAAACGGAGTCAGATACAAAGCCAAGGTCAAGCACGAAAATCACAACTGAACACAACAAGCGCTAAAGGGAACTGAAACAGAAACCACGATAGGGCAGGGAGTTAAGGGAGAGGTAAGTATAAATACCCTAAACTTTACTTTGATTGGCCCCTGTCATATCCACGCCCCCAAAATGTGAGTGTCTGGGGAATGTGGGATGACAGGGGCCAATGGGAGCACATTTCATTTTTTGGCTCCCACTGCCCCTTTAAGAGCGTTCCGGAGACGCGCGGCACGCTCTTAGAGCTAGGCGGAACACGTGACCACATCTTGCAGTCCGTGCCCGCCTGCATTTGGGAGCTGCGCGCGGTGGGAAGTGAGGACCTCGGCCGGCCCCCGGGTAAGGTAAGTACCGCTACACAAAAAGCCATTTTAGTTTTAGTCGTATTTTAGTCACCTCAATTGTTATAGTTTTAGTCGACTAAATCTCCAGTAGCTTTTAGTCAACTAAATTTCTAGTAGATTTTAGTTGAGACGACTACAATCTAATCGGTTTAGTTAAAGCCTCTGTCTGTCTCTTTTGCCTCTTTCCCAGCCCTTTTTGTGTCCTCCCAGCTCCACTAGATGTCTCTCTCCCAAGCCATGGTCTGTCTCTTTTGCCCTTTCCACAGCCCCTCTGTGTAGTGTAAATATTTGCAGCAAATTTCTATTTAGTTTTATTCATGGTCTTTTGACTAAAACAGCATTTTAGTTTTAGTCGTATTTTAGTCATCTGAATGGTTTTAGTCTAGTTTTAGGGGACTAAATCTCAAAATTGTTAGGCGACAAAATGAACACCGGTCAAAAGAATGGCCCACAAAAAGGCACTGAATGTTCCTAGAGACACCATTGGAAACAGAGTTCCCAATTTCACAGTTGAAAGTGGTTACACTACCTGGACAGGGCAGAACACGGAAGCTATCAATGGTTGCAACCAGATTTCTGGGAACGCATGTTGTGAAAAACCCTTGAGAGACTGCAAAAGACCTGCAGCAAGACTTGATGGTAACAGGCACTGAGGTTTCAGTTAGCACAGGTGCGTACTGAATGCAGAAGGTTTCTGTGCCAGAACTCTAAGATGTACACCACTACTGACCCAAAAGCACAAGAAAATATGCCAATATGCTCAAAATCATATAAATAAGCCACAGGAAATTTTTGGCCCAATTGATCAGCAATATGTCTGTAGGAAGAAGAATGAAGCACACGCTGAAAAGAACACTCTGCCTACAGTTAAACATGGTGATGGCTCGATGATGGTCTGGGGCTGCTTGGCATCCCCTGGCACAGGAAACCTGCAGCATGTGGAAGATTTATTGAAGTATGAGGAAATCCTAGGAGAAAATATCATGCTATCTGTGAGGAAGCTGAAGCACGGCTGTCATTGGGCCTTTGAACAAGACAATGATTCCAAGCATACCTCAAATACCACCAAGGCTCGGTTGCATAAGTAATCCTGGATAATTCTACAGTGGCCATCACAGTCACCTGACTTGAACCCCATTGAAAATCTCTGGTGGGATCTGAAGAAGGCAGTTGCAGCATGCAAACCCAATAATATTACTGAACTGGAGGCCATTGCTTATGAGCTAAAAGTCTGTAAATTTTTTTTTTTAAATTCTTTATTTTAGTTGTGCGTAAATAGTACAAACAGGCCTGCAATGCCACAACAGCAAGAGCAAGCTTTTCAATGGACACAGAAAGACAACAGTATGGCATTCAATAACTGCACATTTTTATGAAGTAATGTAAAGTAAGAGGAAACATGCTGGCTCCATGATGAAGCCAGATAAGACATAGATGGAGAAAAGTCTCACGTGTGACCTTCATTCCTGCCCCACTACGGCACTATTCAGCAGACCGGGAGACAGCGGGCCAGGTAGTACCTGGGTGATATGTCAGCAACCCTGTGCTGCCTGCTGTTTTTCTCTCCGAGCTGTAAATGTCCCAGGAGACCTCTGTCTTGCTCAGCACAGGAGTATAGACCGGTGCGCTGCTTTTTCTGGGTGCCACTGGCGCAGCCTTGGAGTCTGCAGCCATACATGGGTTCCTGGGATTTTGGCGTTTCTGTGCAGGTGAGCGATTATGGCTTATGGGGCAGGCAGGAGATACCGGCACAGCAAGCCCTGCCAGAATTCCTTATGGATGCAGTTCAGCTGTAACAATGCTACGGACCCCTCCCTCAGATGAAGCTAGGGACATGAAGTCTCCGCCATTGTGGTAAGTCCATCTTAGGTTGGGAACGCATGTGCAGCATGCCGTCTGTGGAGGTAAGGAGCCCTCATGGTGGGGACCGGGATCACCCTCACCAGTCCAAGGAGGGAGCATCAGGGTCATGTTATCATGGCCCTCTCCCTTTGACAATGTCTGCTAGGCTTTGCTTACAGTCGATGAAGATAGATTCTCTGTTTGGCAACCGCAGACAACTGCCGCAAGCAACTCCAAGCCAGTCAGTTGATGCAGGATGCCAGCATGGCTTAAGTTGCCAAGATAAAATAATTGCTGTTGACTGGACTAATTTGTTTGGGACTGGAGGAGCACTGCCCTCCCCCTTTCCCCCCAAGTCTGTAAATTTTGACAAGAAACCTGATTTTCAATGGGGGTTGAATAATTTTTATTACAACTGTATATCTGTCTGTGAATTTGTGTATGTCTGCCAATATGTTTTTTTGTGCATGTATTTGCGAAGACTTGTAGATGCATACTGTATACTATGCATGTGTGTGTATCTGTGTATCTTTTTGTCAGGAAGTGTGTATGTTTGTGCACATGAGCGAGGATCTGTGTGTACCTATTCCTGGAAATGTTTGAGATTCTGTCTGTATGTATTTATGAATGGTGTGTGACAGAGGGACCCACTAAATGATTTTTAAAAAAGATTTCTGATGGCAGCCCTGGGTCCTACACTAATTTTCTGAACATGGGAGATAAAAACTAAAAAACATACTGCTTAAACTGACTCAAGAAGCTCGCCTCAAATGTATGCTTCCCTGTGGTGACATCACTAGTTGTGTGATGTCATCTAGGGGAGAGGGAGATAAAATTACCTCAAACTCTCTCTTTTTGGGGGACTCAATCCTCCGATTCAGCTCATTCTTCGGCTCTTTGGGTACTTTGCGCAAAAATAAGAAATAAGGGTCCTGCAAAAGATTCTGCAGGAACCTCCATAGAACATGTTGCCCATGCCATAGTCATCTATATAGTTTATTGTGTTGAGGATACTTGGTCCCTGCCTGAAATCAACATGTATATAAGAGAACATGTCCCTTCTTTGTCTTATAATATCTTTTTTTGATGGTGTTGGGATTATAACAAAACTCCACGTCTGTTCATATGCTTTTCAATAGATGTTTTACTAGTATGAAAAATTGAAATATGATAGAACTACTTAACCCCTTAAGGACAGAGGCAATTGTCAATTGTTGTAAAATGATTCCCTCCTCGGACAGGTTTTATGGCCTTTTGGAAAGTTACAGGGTCAAATCTAGGTCTTGTCCATTTCAGTTTTTACACTGAATTTACTGAAATTTCCAAGATTGGTTTGCTGTGCCCATGTCGCATTAGAAAACATATGGCGGTGCCATCATGACATACCATTTGAAAAAGTAGACAACTCAGTGCATTCAAATTGGGGTATTCCAGATAAATTTAGAAGCCACTTAGTCACAATCCCTGGCCTAATTTAGTGTTCAGATTAGCTCTTTTGCATTTTTTACACAAGGATTGCACTATCAACAGTGATATCATCGTCGTTAGACATTTTACTGCTCTAAAACTCTCATATTTGTTTTCAGCCATGTCTTATGAATACAACAGTACAGGCTAAAATATAGGGCTTGCAAATTGAATTCTCCAGGCTTTCTGCCTGGGTTATCAGACAGGTCCCCAATATATAATTAATGAAATAATATAATTATATATAAATAGACCTATAATGAAATGCTATATTTTTATATATATATATATATATATATATAGTGCCTAGGTGTCCGCTTTAAGTGGTGCCCCAGGACATGTGCCATACCCGCCTTACCATGCGTACGCCACTGGGAAAGTGTTGTTTCTGTTAAAATAGGAACTTTCTTAATTAATTGTTGGTCCCAAAAAAAAGTTCATATATGGAACTGAAACATTGACACATGAGACCATAATATAATCAAATTAAGGAAAATTTTGTTGTGAATAGCAAGCGTGCGGGTAAATCTCTATTTCCATAAATACACACATAATTCTAATATTCATACAGTCACAGCTATAAACTGTGAGTTAAATGACATGTGGATTGAGGACATAGTGTACAGGAGTTGCCATTACACAATGTCCCTGTGCTGGCAGTGTATACAGTCTGTGTAATATGTCAGCACTGCACACACTGACAACAACCAGGGAACCAAGCATCTCACTGAACCTGTTCAACAGGCTGCTTTCACCTGCCCCGCCCCTAACCTGTTACTTGGAGCTGATTGGCTCGCCCCTAACCTGTAACTCGAAGCTGATTGGACCGTGTACCCTAACCGCGTCGTCACGTCACGCACAGGTGAGCGGGTTCCAAACGGAGAAAGCAGCCAAAGTTGGGGGAGGAGCAAGATGTCGCGTGCATCCACCTGACCGCCGCGAACAGGACGGCCAATCGAAAGCAGAGAAGCTGATCGGGCTCCACTGCGCCACCGCTAACCCGCGAGCGGGCTGAGGGCTAGGTGTGCGTGCTCGCGGCGCCACGCGCTAACTCGGTCATCTAATGTAACTGTCTGAGTGAAGTGACGGTTGCCCTGACAGCTGGGAGGGAGAGCTGCGCGTGCTCTCCAACTCGTATCCCTGCGGCCAGGCCCCGCCCCTGTCCCTGGGCTGGCCACGCCCCCTCTCTCCCTGGCTGTCTGCGCTGCCCCCTCCTCTCCTCACTCAGTATACGGCGGAGAGCACCGGAGGCGGCACGCAGCGCACTGACAGGAGCGGCACTGCGAGGACTCGGCAATCTCCCTCCCAGCACGGACCGAGCCGGGGGCTGAGAGGACATGCACCGCTCCGGGCATGCTGACACCTGTGTGATCGCGGACTGAGCCCACCTGCCGTGCCTTATACCCTGGATCTATCGCACCATGGCCTGGGTCAAACTATTCCGCCGCCAGGCCGGGGGGAACCTGGGCAAGGTGTACCAGCCGGGCAGCATGCTCTCCCTGGCTCCCACTAAAGGCCTCTTCAACGAGCCCGGCCAGAACAGCTGCTTCCTGAACAGCGCCGTGCAGGTGAGCCGCCCGGGGGGGCGCTGCTGGACACGTCTGGCTGGCCATATGTATCATGGGAATGGTAGTCCTCAATAGCTGGAGTGCAGAGATAAACCAGAGCTACAGGTGTGATCATGGAGTGACCATGGCAGCCCACCTGCCTGGCAAAGCATCCTGGGAAATAGAACAACACCTGGGCAGGCAAAGCATCCTGGGAAATAGAACAACACCTGGGCAGGCAAAGCATCCTGGGAAATAGAACAACACCTGGGCAGGCAAAGCATCCTGGGAAATAGAACAACACCTGGGCAGGCAAAGCATCCTGGGAAATAGAACAACACCTGGGCAGGCAAAGCATCCTGGGAAATAGAACAACACCTGGGCAGGCAAAGCATCCTGGGAAATAGAACAACACCTGGGCAGGCAAAGCATACTGGGAAATAGAACAACACCTGGGCTGGCAAAGCATACTGGGAAATAGAACAACACCTGGGCTGGCAAAGCATACTGGGAAATAGAACAACACCTGGGCTGGCAAAGCATACTGGGAAATAGAACAACACCTGGGCAGGCAAAGCATCCTGGGAATCTAGAACAACACCTGGGCAGGCAAAGCATCCTGGGAATCTAGAACAACAACTGGGCAGGGGCAAAGCATCCTGGGAATCTAGAACAACAACTGGGCAGGGGCAAAGCATCCTGGGAAACTAGAACACCACCTGGGCAGGGGCAAAGCATCCTGGGAAATTAGAACAACACCTGGGCTGGGAAATAGCATCCTGGGAAATTAGAACAACACCTGGGCTGGCAGTACTAGCCATCTCTACTAGCCGATCCATTCTGTGCTATCACGCCTTTATTACTGGCAAACTGGATTATTGTCATTTAGCTGTACAAATACCACAGTCCAGTACACAGTTAATAAAGGGTGTAATAACAAAAACAGTTTGTCAGATGAAAAAAAGCCCAACCTGTTAGTATGGTGAATATTGTGCTTTTATGTAGCCTTCTGTTTACATGGTGACCTGTGTATAAGTATTTATACTATACATAAACAGGAATAGAGTATAAACCTATATATGTGTGTATGTGTATATATATATATAATGTTGTGTCTAGCTGCCTGAAGGGCGTGCTACTTTCATAGTTCCAAGAAGAACCATGATATCATTGGACATGGTTTTTATTTTTTGACACCCTGTAGAGAGCCAGAAGTGTCTTCTCATATTCCGAGGAATTTTCTGCCAGTTTCTGTATTTACATATGTTCCCCCACCTTATTCTGTATAAGCTTCGTGTGTGCCAAAAATGACACGAAGATAGTTTGCAGAATGTAGCTTATGCCTGTCCATTCAGTGTGTCTGTGTTTTGTTTTCCAGAGTATGTGACATAATTTACCTCTTAATCAATTCCAAAGTGAGCCTGATGAGATGCTATTACCTGGTTAAATACAAAGCAGTTTCATTATTACAGCTCGACAAAAGCAGGTCCCCTATTTTTAAAATTTATTTTTCAAAAATATAATTGTTTTGTTACTCTGAGTAACAGAAACAATCAATGCGGGTGGCAAAAAGTAGCAAGCTGTTGAGTAAATTGCTCTCATGAACCTAAGTAGCTCCACAGTTGATGAACAACTATAACTACCTTCATGGTTGTAATATGGGAGTTATAGCAGCTGCACCAACTTTTGACCTCCCTTACTTTAGAATCCATTTTACAGAATAGAGGACTGCCAACATATATCACACTTGTTTACTTTCATAATACTGTGCTTCTGAACCTCGTTTATTTTTTAACCTTACAAGTGTTACATGTACCTATCATTTAATAGATCTTTTTGCTCTTCTGAATTTCAGGGAGATGGTTTCATATTATACATAATACTTTTATGAATGATTTCCTTTACTACCCATATATTATTTTCCTTTGGTTCATCTAGGATACCTCAACCTGATTGCGCTAAAATTGGTGGAAGCATTTGTTTCCTTTTTCTTTTACTATGTACAATAATAAAATCTCCCATGTACACTTATACGGAGGAAGAACACATACTTTTCATTTGTGTGCAGTTGTGTCTGGCACTGAACTGGTTTAAAGTTGTTTGGGAAAACTGTAGTCTTTTTATTATTTTGAACATTGGAGCTACAAATTCTATGTGGATGGATCATGTTGAATTCTACCCAGAAGAAAAATTTTGAATATGTGTGTTTGCAGAGTAAAAGCACTTTTAAGGGGCCTGTCAAGTATAAAATCTGCAAATAATTATTTTTGCCCGATATGATAGTAAAATGGCAAGCAATGTATTGATTTGCAGACATGGAAGAATATTTGGTAATGTATTGCCTCGTGATATGTTAGGGACACTATATCAATTTGTTTTTCTTACGAGCTTTGAGCACTTCTGTCTTTCAAAATAAGTTGGGAGGAATCAAAAATATTATATATGGTGGTATATATTGTTTCCACATGGCAGAGAACATGGAGTATTCATTAGAATTATTGTTATGGTGGTTTCCTGATTTTCTTGATTATCAAATTAGTCGCGTTAAGCCAATGTTATGCAGACTACTTCTCAGGAGCCAGTTTGGTTATTTTGGCCAAAACTTGGAAATCTTATCACATTGCCCATTGCAGGTATGAATCAATATGACTACCAGGAAGTGTAATCCATACCTCCAGTGGGGAATAGCCCATGGGAAACCAGGCACATTAATTCTCTGTTCAATTGCTTGAAATGGTTTAGCATTCAATGGGGGGCAGGGCCAGGGGACTCCATGCACCATAAGAAAATTGAATGGATGGGATGAAATAGGTGTAGTGCCTACAGCGTCTCTTCAAGTCACATGATTTAATTAATACTTGCTTATAGTGTACTTGTCATGGTATGCAAAACTTGCTCTTCTGTTAAAGAGCATTAAGGGGACAGTATAGTCACCAAAACCACTACAACTTAATGCAGTGGGTCTAGTGTCCTATCCCCACAGGTTCAGCATTGTAAACACTGACTTTTCAGAGATGGTAACACTTCTAGTGGCTGCCACCAGTTACTTCTTTGGTTATGTCCTGCCCTATTTTGCTTGTTCGGATATCTGTTAGTTTGGCACTTTAGGAATTCTTAGTCTTGTTCTGGCACAGTGCTTTCGCCAGTATAGGATGTTCTGGTATCAGGCTGCTGGCAGTAAAACCAGCATGTTGATCATAAGGGATCATTACCCTGTTTGAGGATGAGACTCCAGCATGGTAATTCACTGTTTAGATGGGAAGGAGAGAAGGTAGGGTTGGTGTTACAGTAGTTTAATACCCACGTACATCTGGGAATGGGGCTGCTAGAAAGTACCGGTAATAAAACTAGAATTGCTCCCAAAGCAAATTGTTTATCTAAATTATAAATTATATGATTACTGTTTTTAGGATTTTTTTTGTACATAAACATACATCCAGCATGACAGGTTAATTTCATGAATGAATGCTTGTTCAGGATCGTTTTTTTTTGGAGGGGGAGGGAGGGGGTTTGTCTTTAAACTGACCTGTTACCTTCTTTTTTTGTGGTAAATTTAGTGAGGCAAAACCAACAGAATTGTTGCCAAGTCCTCCCATTGATGGCAGGCATCTCATTACATAGAACTAGCTGTTGTTGTTTGATATACATGTTCGAGATTATATTGCCATTTCATTGAGTAGTCAATGGAATTAATCACCTGCACAAGAATGAGTTTTATAAGTTATAAATTATGTTATGTATAATGAATAAGATCATAACAAAGACAATGCGTTGGAATACGAGACGAATATGTCCTATTCATGGCTTCCATGTTTTATGCTGTTAGTCAGACATTAGGTGTTACTTTCTACAGTAAACCTGGAGAATAAACTGAATGTTCACTAGGGTTACATTTCTACTGGAAAGGGCTACATTTTCACTCACATGGCTATTGGCAAGTATACATTTTTAGCCCTGGTATATTCCTGCACTGCCCATTGTAGTCACACACACACACACTTCATGCGAGATCCAGCTGCCAGTCCTGAAGTACAGATCTCTCCATGCATTGCACAGATATTGTTTGGTGGAAAGAATAAACTGTGCTGAGCAGCAGAGAGTAAAATATCTGATGGTCGCACATAGCAACATAGTGCTGCCACTGTTTACATCTGTTATAAGAAAGACAAATATAGGGCAATGCTTGTTTTAAATGTATTTTTTTTTTGCTTATAATTTGTCATTTATTTGTGCTGCTATTTTGTCATACAGATGTAAACAACCGTGCTAATATCTACTATCGAATCACAATATCTTCCTATAGCAATACATTTAAATGAATGAATGACTTTGCTGGGAATATTGGGCTACAGTGGATCTTAATAGGAAACACTCTACATGTGCAGTAGTAGTGAGTGTGTGGTGGTATATTCATTAAAGCCTTTCTAACAAGACAAAGACAACTAAGAGCTGCAGTCTACACTTATGGGGCATCATGTAGGAGTTTGCAGAGCTTCAGGGGATGCTGCATCTTTGTTAGAGAGATTGTACATTAGAACATAACCCACTTGTAGGTGAAGTCTATGTGACAGATGAATTGTTTGAACAAAGGCCTAAGAAGTTGAAACACAAATATAATGGAGGGAAGATGGAGAGAAATTATATTTTTTTACAATTTGCATGGTAGAAAACAGTATAAATTAACAGGAAAATAAAGTTAGACTTCACCTACAAATGGTTTTTATGTGACAGATGAATTGTTTTTTAGTAGTTTAGTTTTAAGGAAAAACTTACTGGCATTGTAAATAATATTGGAATATTTAGAGAGAGTGTGTTTTTTTGTTTTTTTTGTTTTTTGTTTTCTTACTAACTTGGCTACCTAATACCTAGGGATATGTTTTGGAATATGGAATGTAAGCGACTGTATAGAGGGCATACAACTAATATGTGCAAGGTAAAGTACAGAATTCAAAACCTGATTGACTAGTGTTCATGGGTCTTCCCACATGCCAAACTATGTATGTATTCCAGTACTTCCTGTTAAAGGGCCATTCCAAGCATAGATGTGGCACTTGTAGATTTCCATTGTTTGTAGTAAATCCTTAGGATCTGCTGTTTCTACTGAGACTAGCATGGGACTTGTTCTCATCTGTTTTTAGTTAGATACAACTTTGTTTGAAATTATACAAGGGCTGAATGAATGTACTACCTGTGGAAGTTAATTGAAGCAGCTGGATTGCTTTGCATAAAGCTGTCATGAACAAGCCTATTGCATATCAGTGTTTCCATGAACCCCTGGGAAATGTAGCAGGCATTCATACTGCTGTGTTTTAGGTTTTTGTTCTTGTTTTGTTTTGAGATGTTGGATTTTGTTGGTATTTCTACCACAACAATTATGTGGCCTCTTGTAAAGAAACCGGACAGTTCTTGTAGCTTGGGAGCTAGCATTGCTATAATGCTCATTTCATCCAGAACCCGTGGTGTGGTTTTATTTTTATTTTTTTTATTTGTTCTCCCCCCACCCCACCCTCCATTTCTATGCAGGTCTTATTTTTTTTTTCTCTTTGTTTTAAGTGTTTTTCCATGTAATTCAGAAAATTACAGATAAAAGCCACCAAGGGACTTTTCTAAGAATGAAGGAAATCCTCTCGAATTCCAATCGACTCTACAATATACTTCCTTTATAAGTTAAAGTAGAAAGTGTTTTTGTTTGTTTCCAATCTCTTGTTTATGACTACATTTCTTTCTAAGCATAGAGTGACTAGGTTTTACTAAGCTGACTAATAAACAATTTTGTGTGTAGTTCTACAAAAAGAAATGGACATCAACATGTCTGTTTTTGTTATTGTGTTGTAATCTCAAAATCTACATTATATACATGAAACATAACTCTGTATAAGTCAAATATGGGACTACAAGGACATCCCTTTATCCGATGTGGTCTTTTGGGTCAGTGATAACCCAAAGAAGCTGCTACTTAATATTGCCATAACAATGTGTAGCACCTGATACATCAATTAACTTTTTTTTCTCTTTTTGAGCAGTTAGTACTCCAATGGAGTTTTACTAGGCCTCAGTTGGTAAGATAAGACACCAATTTATTTAAATGGTCTCTACATTAGAATAAGTGTTTATGAATAGAAAGGTCTGTGTTAAAGGGATTACACTATAGTGCCCTCTCCTCCTCCCTCGTGTCTCTGCCCCCCCTCCCCCCCAGCATATGAAGGGTTTAAATTTATTCCCAGAAGCACCTCCAGAGGCTGTCTCTGTCCTGTATTGTAAATATTGCAGTTTTTCAAAAACTGCCTTGTTTTACATTTGACCCAGACCACTTCAATCAGATGGAGTTGTCTGGGTACATACAGAGTGTCCCTTTAAGTTCATTGTTTGCCTTCCCATGGCATCAGCCCAGGAATTGAAAAGCAAGCATGGGAATGGCCCTGTATATTTAATAAATATGGAGTTTTATTCTGAAGAAGGAAGATTTAAAAAATATATATATTTTTTATATATATATATATATATATATATATATATATATATATATATATATATAATATTTTTATTTATTTCTGGGCACCAAAACCCATTTAAGCACTTTTAATTTTTCATTGTTGTATGTAATAAGTAAAACTAAACCAAAAAGTGAGACTATAGCTTTATTTTCCTGTTAATTTATACTGTTTTCTACCATGCAAATTGTTAAAAATATAATTTCTCTCCATCTTCCCTCCATTATATTTGTGTTTCAACTTCTTAGGCCTTTGTTCAAACAATTCATCTGTCACATAAACCACTTGTAGGTGAAGTCTATGTTCTAATGCTCAATCTCTCTAACAAAAATGCAGCATCCCCTGAAGCTCTGCAAACTCCTACATGATGCCCCATAAGTGTAGAATTTGAGTGGTCCCACTGCAGTGTGTGTCTCTTCTAGGTGTGCTTGTGTATTTGAGCCCAACCTCCATATCTCACATGCAGCTCTTATTTATTTTGAACCCTTCTCTTTAGGTGGTTTTATTAGCTAAGCATAACCTGCAGCTGTTATTTATGGTTCCCCTAGAATAGAGGTAAAACATCACTTTGTATTTTTAGAGGGGAAGAATACTGGTTGGATGGGTTATATGAGAATGCTGTGCCTGGAATGTTTGAGGTATGAGTAAATCTGGCTCTGGCAGGACTGTCATTCATTATCAGACTGTTATATAAGCCTAATAATGCTAAATTAACTTAGTGCAGCAGTGTGTGATTATTTTATTACTTACAACATATTCCAAAAAAGGAATTGATTTAAAATGTTTTGATACACTTTTTTTTTTTATTATTTAATATTTTTGTATAAACATTTAAAGTGTTTTATATAAACATCAATATATTAAAATATTTTTCAAAATATTAAATAATTTGAAAAGCTTATCTAAAAATATTAAATAAAGTGCAAAATTAGGTGCAATTTGTTTTCCAATGAAAGCGGCACTGTCATATCTGAGGACTTTGCCGAATTCGCAAAGTCCCCCGACGGTCTCATCGCCGCTGGGGTGTCCGGTGACGGCAGGTAAAGGTGAGATTATTTACCTGAATCTGTCTCTTACATGCGCCGCCATCTTTCTTGCCCTGCTCCTCTTCAATGCCATGAGCTAACATCATGGTGGTACTCTTGTGCATGTGACAGTGCCACTTTAGTTATTTTGGTGTTCTAAGATTGATGCCCACATATTTTTATTTTTTTTTATTTATTTTTTAAAATAGCTCTTAACTTCTAAGATTTTTATTACAATCCTGACTTCTTGCAAAAAGCTGTAGAATTAAATAAAATGGCATCAGTCATTTTTTTTTTAGTATTCAATATTACATGCAATGCCACGTGAAGGAATTGGGAGCAGCAGCCACAGAGAAAAGGAACATGTCAACTAAAATTAGTTAACCCCTAAAGCACTTCAGAAGCGAAAATTCATTAGGGGAGTAAAGTGTCCCTTTTTAAGGAGTCTTTAGAATTTTAGAAAATTCTTTGTAATACAAATCTCTTACCAAAACACAGTTTTTGCTTTGTTATAATGGTGACAGACCTAGAAATAAGATAATTCTTTGTACACTTTAAAGGGACGGTTTAGACAGTTTCATCTAACTGAAGCTTTTATGGTGCCAGGAGGCCCCTTGTGCACTCTTATCTTCTCGAATGTTTTAACCCTAAAGTTGCCTCCAACACTCATCTATGCTCTCCCCCTAGGCTGCATCTGGCTTTTAAAACTTCAGTTTCAGGAAGTATGGAGTGCCACCAGTTAGGGGCACTGCTGATTGGCTGAGCGTGTCAACTGACATCTCTCAGCCAATCAGTGACTCTCCATTCACTAATCTGATTTAGGAAAAAATAAATCAGCAAGTCAGCGCCACCCCTGCATTTCAGACAATGGATGCCAGAGTGCTGAGAGACTCTGGAGGCAACTTTGGGGTTAAACCATTCAAGAACGATTTTACCCCCGAGGAAAGAGATGGCACGGGTTCCTCCTGGCACCATAACAACTTCACTTAGCTGAGTGCCCTTTAAGCTAGTTTAGAGCTTGTGTTATGTACGCTTGGTGATACTCCCAGAAATAGAGAACATCTTTTTAAGAGTGTATTTTGCAAAGTTGAAACCATGGAAAATTCATAAACTATGAAGTATAATGCAGTATATGCAATGATTTGTGGACCCAGGACATACTTGAAAACGAGAGAAATCTCAATGTATCTTTCCTGGTGAAATATTTTATAAATAAAAAATAATAAATAAATATAACTTGAGCAGATTTCAGGCAGTTTGTGTTGTGTTTTGCAATGTTATGTAATGTTTGGATTGGAATTGTAACCATATGTGTTCTATAATGTATAGTTGTTGTTGTTATGACTCATTTAGTATGTACTTTTTATTCATTCCTGCTTTAAGTGGGTTTCTTTAACAGGTCCACTGTGACCCCATAATAACTCAGTATCTGTGAAATTGTTATGGGATCTGGAATCTCTGGGCGCCATCTTAGTTTAGTGCTAAACCGTTTTTGTCTCCTTGGATGCACATCAGGTTGCCTCCTCTCATCCCTCCTCAGCCACTCCGCTGATAGGGAAGTATTGACTTGGGCAGCTAATTATAGGTTGAGATGTTATCGGCCAATTGTTAGAGTGCTATTGCAGTGTGTTGTAATCGTTAGAGTGCTGCCTTGGACTGCCCTATTTAATAAATGTAAATAATTTTATCTATGGAATTTAACACTATAAGAGAGAGAGAGAGAGAGCTTGCCACTATATCGACAAAAGTTTTTGGACACACCTCTTGACCCATTGCCACAGGTGAATAAAATCAAGCACCTAGCCATTCAGTCTGCATTTACAAACATTTGTGGGGGGGAAATGGGTCATTCTGAAGAGCTCAGCGAATTCAAGCATGGTACTGTGATAGAAATGCAACCTTTGCAATAAGTCAATTTGTGAAATGTCATCCCTGCTAGATATCCCACGGTCAACTGTAAGTGGTATTATTGGAAAGTGGCACAGCAGCAACTTAGCCACAAAGGGGAAGATTGTGTAAAGTCGCAGAGCTGGCTCACAGTGCTGAAGCGCATGATGTGTAAACGTCGCCAACGCCCTGCTGAATCCATACCTTGAAAGTTCAAGCTTCCATTGGGATTAATATCAGCACAAAAACTGTGCGGTGGGAGCTTCATGGAATGGGTTTCCATGGCCAAGCAGCTCCATGCATGCCTCACTTCACGAAGTACAATACCAACATTGAATCGCATGGGTGGAGCACGCCGCCTCTGGAGCATTAAAAATGTGTTATGTGGAGTAACTAATCACTAATCAGTTCTCTGTTTGGCAGTCTGATAGGCAATTCTGGGTTTAGTGAATGCCAAGTTTGTTACTTGCCTGACTGCATTGTGCCAACTGTAAATACCCAAAGACAAAGTAGGTACTACTTTTATCTTATGGACAAGACTTAGGTTGACCATAACTCACAAAAGGCTGTAATTTGCTCTCCCAAAGACAAAGGTAGTGAAGCAGGGTGGATATAAATTTAAATGGTTTAAAAAAAAAAAAAATAAATAATAAATAAATTTAAAAAATGATATTATTTATAGAATTTTCTTTCCTTTTTGTGTGTGTCTGATTTTAGTCGCCTATTTTCCCACACTGTGCCGGTCTTGCCATAGCTGGCCACACACGTGAGGCTATTGCTCTGGCACTAATCCGCATCTTCATAGAAAAGCATTGAATCAATGCATCTCTATGGGGAACATTGAGCGCCTCCGTGCAGTGTGAAGACTCTGAACGACATTGCTACACACTGTGCAGGCCTGACACAGGAAGTACCTCTAGTGGTCGTCCGAGTGATTGTTGCCAAGTAACACCTCTGATGACAATGTAAACACTGCCTTTTCTCTGAAAACACAGTGTTTAACCCCTTAAGACCGCAGCCAAATGTACAAGTTGTGATCAAAATAAAACGTAAACAAAACCTGGCATTTGCGCTATATGTCTGTCCAAATGTAATTCACCTCTTTCACATTAAATGCACCCACACTTATTATATATCATTTTATTCAGGGGAAACAGGGCTTTCATTTAACATCAACTATTTAGGTATGGAACATAATTTAATATGAAAAAAATGGGAGAATATACGAATTTTTTTAAAGATTTTTTTAGTTCTACATGACATTTTAACGGTCAGTGTCATAATACTGTTTGCTTTTACTGCAGTAACATACACATATTTGTATTCAGCGAAGTCTCACATGTAAAACAGTACCCCCTATGTACAGGTTTTATGGTGTTTTGGGAAGTTACAGGGTCAAGTATCACGTGTTACATTTTTCAGTTTTTTCACATTGAAATTCGTCAGATTGGTTACGTTATCTTTGAGACCATATGGTAGCCCAGGAATGAGAATTACCCCCATGATGGCATACCATTTGCAAACGTAGACAACCAAAGGTACTGCAAATGGAGTATGTCCAGTCTTTTTTAGTAGCCTCTTGGTCACAAACACTGGCCAAAATTAGTGTTAATATTTGAAAATGCAAAAAACTAATTTGAACGCCAATTTTGGCCAGTGTTTGTGACTAAGTGGCTACTAAAAAAGACTGAACATCTGCAATACCCTGGGTTGTCTACTATTGCAAATGGTATGCCATCATGGGGGTAATTTTCATTCCTGGGCTACCGTACGGTCTCAAAGGCAACCTGGCGAATTTTAATGTGAAAAAACTGAAACGCAAGCCTTATATTTGACTCTGTAACTTTTGAAAACACCATAAAACCTGTACATGAGGGGTACTGTTATACTTGGGAGACTTTGCTGAACACAAATATTAGTGTTTCAAAACAGTAAAACGTATCACAACAATTATATCGTCAGTGTAAGTGCCATTTGTGTGTGAAAAATGCAAAAAATTTCACTGTCACTGATATCGTCGTAATACATTTTACTTTTGAACACTAATATTTGTGTTCAGCGAAATCTTCAGAGTAAAACAGTACTCTCCATGTACATGAGATATAGATATAGATATATATAGTGTGTGTGTGTGTGTGTGTGTGTGTGTGTGTGTGTGTGTGTGTATATATATAGATATATATTATTTCGTTCTACATGTATTTTGATATCAATATATTTTGTATTTTATATATATATATATATTCAATATCATTGTACATGTATTTTGATATATATATTAAAATACACGTAGACAGTATGTGTGTATATAAAATATACTTAGATCATATATATATAAAATAAATAAATGATCTAAGTATATCTTTAATTTTACACTGTTTTAACATGTTTTATTTTATTTTCAGGCAGCAGGGGGAGTACCTGTCATTACAGGCGCTCCCCCTGCTGGCAATGCCTTGGACGGCTATGCCGTCCATGTGATCGTGAGGTCTTCACAAGGACCTCGCGATCACATGGCTCAGGGGGGCCTAAGAGGATAGAGGGGGACTCCCTGGGCTCCCAGGTAAGTCCTCATACCACGATTGCCGGCGACCGGGTAAGTACAAAAGATCGCAGGGCGTTCTATGCCGCCCTGTGGCAATTAGAGCCATCTAAATAAGGACGGCATAGAACGCCCTGCGGTCTTAAGGGGTTCAATTAAAATGTTTGCAAGGCTATAGACACCAGAACCACTACATTAAGCTGTAGTGACTCTGGTGACTATAGTGTCCCTTTAAGAATTGTATTTTTGTCATTGAAAATGAAGCTTTGTTAGTTAAAAATACCTGGCTTTAACTGGCTCCTAGATTCCAAGCAAATTTTGTCAAGCCCTGTACTAAAGAATCTGTTTACAGTAATTTAAAGGGACACTGTAGTCACTATAAGCATTTCATCTCTTTGAATTGTTTATAGTGCCTGGAGTACCCTGGCACTGTCCCTCCATTCAGTGTTGCACTATGTTCGTGCAGTATGCCACAAAATAAGAGTCCCTGGCCACCCACAGTCCGGCCCCTTCAGTATGTGTAGCTAAGGCAGAGATTACACACTTCCTTGTTGTCATACCCACTCATACCGTCAGTTGGAACTCTGACAGGCTAGAAGCAGTCAGCTGACACTCTCAGTCAATCACAGTTGCCCATTTCTGCTCAGGCTAATACTTCCTTATTAGCCAAAGCAGCACAGAGGGGATGGATTGCTGGGGACTCTTGTTTAGCATTAAAATTTTAAAAACTGTTTAATGCTGATAGAAATGATGGGACCAGAAGACTCCAGACACTATAACCAGTTTAATGAGATGAAGCAGATACAGTGCCTATGGTGTCCCTTTAAACTAAGCTCAAAGACTAACTGTATGAATGTGGAATTGCAACAAACAAGTGGCATGGCCGCTAACTAGGACATAGAAGATGAAGTGTGTGGACAGGGAACATGTGGTAGACCACAGTAATCTCTCTTACGGGCTGGTGTTCAGAGTCAGAGAGCAGTTCTTAGGATTCCCAGCCTACATTCTAACTCATTGAGTGCCGGGTCCTGATTGAGCGATTACTGTTGATTGCTCCCTCCAGGTACTTCAACCACAGATATACCTCCTCCCTAGCAGAACACTGTGCAGGGGAGGGGCAAAGCAAGCACATAACACCTTGCCAGAACAAATCCTACACAACTAGCAAACATCAGACACTTAATCACTAAAATCCAGATTTTCATAAATCTGAATGAAGGCAAAAGATTGTGAGTAACTACGTTGGAAAGGTTTGGTAGAGTTTGCCCAGTTTTCTATTTGGATTTAATTCCAGGTGTAGTGAACACAAAATTTCTTTGTGTCAGGACAAGTAGAGCTGGCCACCCCTTCGATCCCTTGGACAAGTAGATTTTGTTAAAAAAATGTCAAATAAATAAATAAATACATTACCCTACACCTCTGTAACTGTCATCTCTAGTATATTTCAGTTGCACAACTTAATCACTAATAGTTAAAAGATTACAGTCCTGAGAGGCAGGGCCAGATTAAGAGCCCAGTGGTCCTGGTGCTGACAATTATGATGGGGCCTAATTACAGAATCTTATGGATGGAGATGGTGTTGGAGGGAAACTCAAAGGATGCAGCTATAAGAAAACACATACTCTATGCTAATCTCTCTAATTTATGCTTTAATCTTTCAAGTAAATCCATACCCCATAACAGCAGTGTCCAGTGAAGTTAAAGGGTGGGCCACTGATGCGAATCCCGTGACCAGAACTGCCAAAAGGGGCGAACATGCCCAAAAGGCAGGGGGCATGTCTGTCCAAAGAATTGGAAAACCAGCCTGGCATCAGTGTCCCTATGTATCACAGTGTCCGTGTCCCCATGTCGCTCAGTCCCCTAGTCTGTGTCCTCATTTCTCCCCGTGTCACTAGGATACTAGGGGACACTGGGAGACATGGGGGCACTAAGATACTGGGAGACGGACACTGGGAGACCGACCTGGGGACACAGACATTTGGGGACACTAAGACATGGAAACACAGACACTGGGAGACTAGGGGGCACTTGTGGACATAGAAATGAGGACACTGGGAGACTAGGGGGCACTTGTGGACATAGAAATGGGGACCCTGGGAGACTAGGGGCCACTTGTGGACATAGACATGGGGGACCCTGGGAGACTAGGGGGCAATTGTGGACATAGACATGGGGGACCCTGGGAGACTAGTGGGAACTTGTGGACATAGACATGGGGGACCCTGGGAGACTAGGGGGCACTTGTGGACAGAGACATAAGGGACCCTGGGAGATACTAGGGACACTGGCTGGGAGACATGGGGGCACTGTGTCCCTAGTGTCTCCGTGTCCCATGTGTCGCCATGTTTCCCTGTTGCCTTTCCCCCCCCCCATCCTTCACTTCCCTGAGCTGTAGTCTGTCTCTGCAGGCTGGGAGCTGCTGTCTGGACACACTGTGCTGTGTATCTGCTCCCCCGCGGATCAGTGAGTAGAGAGAGGGAGGCAGGGAGAGGGATATGCTCTAACTTCCTATCCCTGCCTCTCTCCACACACAGTAACCCCTACTGGCTGTTGCTGGTAAGCTGGCAAACCCAAGAGTAGTATGTAAAAAAAACATATTTTTTTTTTTTTTTTTATGAGCCTATTCCATGGGCCTGGAGCTGCAGCTCCATCAGCCCCTCTGTTAATCCGGCCCTGATGAGAGGCTTAAAATCATTGTGACCCTCATAATGCATGAAGGACTTGCGTTAGCATGTGCACACATGACCTAATGGGATGGATACCGGAGTGTGGGGTTTAACAACTGGACATCCCTGAGCATCACGGGAGGTAAATCATCTGTACTTTTTATTTTTTTTATATACCTTTTACTGCTCAGATAGCATTGTAGGTGAGAAATGGAGAATCTTTTTTCAGACTGTGACTGTTCCTTGTTCAGTAACTTAATTTAAAAAGACAGTGTTCCTTTAATATGAATGATTAGCCGTAATTGTGTCTATATCGATTGATTTTTACTTTTCTGCATACTCGTTTAATGTTCATAGGGTGCCACTCAACACACACCCTAAGCTAGTTTTTCTTGCTTATTAAAATACTTATATGCTGTTTAAAGGGCCACTCTTACCCATGTGCCAATGAGTCACACACTAGGCATGCAATCAGCTGTTGGTAAGTTACGTTTCCCTTAAACATTTGCTTGCCACATACATGGCAAGTGTCTGGTAAAAGTTCAATAATGTGTAGCTTTCTCAGAGCTGGAGGTCCAGTGAGTGTGTGTGGCATTTTTTTTTTTTTCTTTTCTTATCCCAGCTGAAAACAAGTGGTTTATGTCAACAAGCATTCTTTTGTGTTTGAAGCAGCATTTTCTGGAAAAGTATGGTGCCACTTATATTTCAATGTTTCTGCTTGGTTTTAATTTGAAATATTTTAACTTTTACTGAAGCAGACGTTCATATTTCTTGGGTTATATTACAACTTCTCATTTTTCTCCTTCTTTACCTTTTATCTGTAAGGTAAACACATGTACAGATTAGCCAGTATTCCCCTGTTACATGCACTGCTCCTTGAATCCAGAAGCTAGATTTTACTGAGTGCTATTGCTCAATGTGTTGGGTTGGATGTTATATGTTGTTATATTCCTGTATTACGTCTAACAGTGTTATTCACTGAAGTGAGTATTTAAAGTGAATTTCAAACTTCTGGTCAAAATAATCAAATTGGAAAAATTCTTTGAATCATCTATGCTTTCATTTCATCTACTTTGGCCTTAAATTTTAAATTCACTTTGAATTCCCACTTTAGTAAATACCTCTGTAAAAGTTTTCATGGTTTGAACTCTGTAACTAAGTATCACTGGCATATATTCTGCAGGTTCTCTGGCAACTGGACATATTCCGACGGAGTTTACGTGGATTGACTGGACATGTCTGTTTAGGGGATGCCTGTATATTCTGTGCATTAAAGGTAAGTTTTGTTTGTGTTTGTTTTGTTCAGGGTTTAGTGTATGAGAGGGAAATGGTACTTAGTAAAAGAATGATCTAAAATACAGGAAAAAGGTTGACTAATTATGTCAGCCCTGTGACTGCCAGTGGAAAGTAGAATGGTCATCTAGGTAGCATATGACCTAAATTGCTTAGATGAATAATAGTTTCAGGTATGTCCAAATATATATATTATTTTTTTTATCAGAAATTACACTTCAGAGAACACGGTGAGTATCCTTCATTGACTGCAACTTCTTAGTCTGACACCCACTCCGGAAAGGAAGGAACATGAGTGCGCGTCTAGTTAACTGGAAATTCGTATTATTTTTAAAGCACCAACAAGTTCCGTAGCACTGTACAATGGGTGGACTGACAGACCCGTATTTGTTACCAGACAAGTAGGATGCAGAGGGATTGAGGGCCCTGCCCAATGAGCTAACATTCTAGAGGAAGTAAGGGTATAGTGACACAAAATGTAAGGGTAGGGTAGAAAATTAGGTTTCTAGGATAATGTTTATTGAGGGCTTAGTGTTTTTGTTTTGATGACCTTTTCAGGAGAGGAATCCGGGTGCAGGGAGGGACTGAGCCGCAATCATTGGGGGACAAGCTATGGTATGACAAAACAAATATGCTGGAACATCTACTTTATTTAGAAAACAGAAAAATCTATCTGTCACTACATACCTGCTGTATGGTCTCATGAACAGTCTCAGACTGTAATATGTAATTAGTTGCCAAACATTCTATACATCTCCAACTTGTTGGCTCAGCCAATGGCACAATTTGAGAGCTAATAATAATAACAAGGTATTTTACCAGGAAAGGTATATTAAGATTACTCTGGTTTTCAAGTACGTCCAGGGGATGTTACTATTAACCAATTTAATTGTACTCATTTTATCTACCTCAGAAAGATGAAGGACTGGGCTTAATCATCAGTAGAATCTGTTCAACCCTTCCCTGTGACCCCTAAGGGTTGAACAGATCCTATCTCACTGGCCTATAGGAAGTGGGCACTTTTTAGGAAAAGGGTTGCTGCTTTCCTGTGATAAAACAACTGTGAACATCGTCAGAAGTCGAGTTGAGCCAGCTCCCATTTTCTTTAGAAATTATGTATTGGAACTCTTTCTTAATCAACCACGCACTGTAGTGGTTTTGATGCTTGGAGTGTTACGTTAATGTACTGTTTTGCATGTGAACATTTGATTATTTACTGTTAAGTGGTATGCTACATAAATCCTAATTGGTATACCTTATTGGTAGTTTCCCAGGTGTGTATGTATTATCAGTCAGAAACGGTCCATCCAATATTGACTGTATGATAAATTATAGTCCATTCATTCCTCTTGTTCTGCTTGACTTTATTTATTATTGCTGATTTGATTAAAGGAGCACTCCCACTATAACCAAAACCTCAGTTTGACCTTTTACTTTGAGTTCAGCAAGGCCAGAAGCTCCTACCTGAGCCAATCCCTGCAGCGCAGGGTCAGTTGAGCCACTTAGCTAATGAAGTACTGCACCACAACCGGCTTACTTCAGAGCTCAGTGCTTCTGGCTGCAGTGGAGGAAGGGAGCAATATCCTGGCCAGGTAAGAGATCGAACCTTTTTAAAACAGTTTGACCACAGCACTCCTGGAACTGTAACCACTACAGTGTTTTGTTGAGGTTATGGTGCTTGCAGTGTTCCGTTAAAACAGATAAAGAATTTTGTTTTTGTACTCTATAAATTATGTGATGACTTAAATGTTGGAAAAAGAGTTCAACTAAAATATATATTAATGCTTGATTTAATCCGTAAAAATATCAAATCGAGAAATGTACTATATGGTGAAACACTAACATATTGACACGTTAATTTGATTGTTATATGAAGGATGATGTTGAACTCCTATTTTTTTTTTTTTTTCTCAACACTTCTTTGACACTACTAAACTTGTAAAAGTAGAATAAAAACAGATAAAGTCTTCCAGATTAAATGCAGCGATACCATTTTTAAATGCAAGCGAAAGAGAAGTGGGTTATGGAATATTCTTTCAGAAAGCTAATATAATAAGATGTATTTCTAGATTAATCCTAAATAAATGATGGATGTGCATTTGTTTCTGAGGTTATATATTGTTTATCATACACATGTACAAAGCCCTGTTATTTATATATAATTTATTAAAAAAATAAGTTATCGAGCGCTGAAGACTTCCAAAGTTGATCCTAATGTAGCTGAATCTAAAATAACCTCATTGTGGGTGATGAAACAAGCAGATGTCGGTTTTGGCTTGCTTAAAACGTCTAATTACTTTTTTTTTTCTCTTTTTAGTCATTATTTACTCAGTTTCAGACAAGTCGGGAGAAGGTTCTTCCATCAGATGCAATGAGACATGCTCTTGCTGAGAGCTTTAAAGATGAGCACAGATTCCAGCTTGGTCTTATGGATGATGCTGCCGAATGTTTTGTGAGTAATGAATATAAGCAGATACTGTATGTTCTTCAGAAAATGTTCAGAAACGTTGCTTGGCGAAAGCTAGATTGTAAATAGGCGGAGCTTGTGGTAGGAGTGAGTATACAAAGTTTACAATGCTTGCCATCTGCCTCTTTGACATTGAATCTATTGATGTGAACTTGTCTCTTATTTTAATTGGGATCTTTTCTCAGTTCCTACCCCATTGTGTAATTTGCTGTAAATTGAATACAATGTTTATATACCCAATAGTCAAAATGGGCCAGACACAGACATAATAGAGGGGAAATTCCTGCTAGCAACGTGTAAACCTCTAGCTTCAGATAGGAGTAAAAACATGTTTGTTTTAAAAGTGTAGCTGTCGTGGGTTTTATTCATAATCTAGTTAACTAAAGATTAGCAATGGATGATTCTATATACTTAGAAGGAATGGAAAAGGGGGTGGGGGGTGAATTATTTTATTCAATTCATATGACTGTCAAGTACAACTGGCAGTTCAAAACTATTAATATAAAAATCCTTTTAATCAAGCTTTTGAAAAATAGTGTAAAATTGAATATATATATATATATATATATATATATATATATATATATATATATATATATTGTTTTTATTAAAATGATGTAAATGTGTAAGAAAAAAAAAGAAAAAACATTCTTGCCTGTGGTATAGAACAGGATTGTTCAGTCATATACATCCGCCTTGGTTTAGACAGTGTTAGAAAACCAGTAATTAGTCTCTACAATCTTCCCTGTTTCTGTGCGGCGAGTGAAATCGGGAAGACCAGAGAGACTGTGTGTTTTCAAACACTGTCTGACCCAGTGTGCATGCAGGGCTGGTCTTGGCTGCCCTATGCAAAAAAAAATCTTAAGGTTTTTTTTTTTATTGCATATACATCATTAAAAAATTTTTAAGAAATGGTGCCCATGCATGTACTGTACTTATGCTTAAGTGTGTTGCCAGTATGTGTTCATATTCCTTTGATCCAAGGTTAAAAATAAAATAAGCCTCAGTAGATATTGTTATATAACATGCATTTTAAAGTTGTCTTAAGCAAATTGTTTTCCAAGAAGTAGCTACAAGAAAATGTTAAGAACAAGCTCTTACATGCTTATATATAGCTCTAAATTGCATTTTGTTCTTGTCACTTTGTTCTTGGTGGTGACATGAATTTATTTATATTTTTCCCATACGAAATAATGCTCTGCATATACATTTATTTTTTATTTTTTATAATTCAGGAGAACATACTGCAGCGAATCCATTTCCATATTGTACCGAACAGTGAGGGTGATATGTGTACTTCAAAATCCTGCATCACTCATCAAAAATTTGCAATGACTCTCTATGAGCAGGTAGGCATAAAAGAGTACATGCGTTTTATTCAATGTTTGTTTATTAGGTTTGGTTATGTGTTTAGTCTCTTTATAAGAGAGTGTAAGTTATTTAGAAATTGCTTTATCAAATGTTTAAGTGATTTGTAGTGAAAGAATAATTGTAGAAAACTGAAACTTCCTAACTGGGCAAAAATTCTGACTTTTTTATTATAGCAATTCTATGAGAAAAAGACATTTCTAATTGTAGTGCCCAACACAATTTTTAGCTCTTTCAACTGATCATTAAATTCCATTTATATATTGTGCTAGCAAATGTATAGATTGGGAGGAAAAACCTTTTTAAAAAATTTTTTTCTCTTACATCAATCAATTCTTCGGCATAGACCAATGCACTGTGATTGCTATGGAAACTCCGAAACCCGTACTGCTAGCACTGGCTAGGAAGTATAAAAACAAAGTGCCATGACATCTCGGTTCAGAAAATGGCATGCTTGCAATGAAGTCTGCGTCAATTTAGAGGTTTGACCTGCTTGGGAAAGTGTCCCCAAGGAGGGCAAATTGGAGAGGAGCAGCACGTATGTGGTGTTACAGAATTAATGTGATCACTGCGGTTAAGTAGTTACAGGTTCCCTTTAATACACCTACCTCTGTAACACACCAGTGTAGTGCAAAAGATATCAGTAAATGAGTGAAGGACCGTGGCCTAATGGACACAAAGATCACTATATGTTTTACTTTTTGTTCTTTGTATATATTTATATTAAATATGGGGTGCTATATTTGTACATGTATGCTACTCTATTTATATATATTGATATTTTCTTTTCACAGTGTGTTTGTCGCAGCTGTGGTGCCTCATCAGACCCTTTGCCTTTTACTGAATTTGTGCGCTATATTTCTACCACCGCTCTTTGGTAAGTTCTAAGTATATTTGTACAACTTTTTTATGTCAATTGACCTTGTTAACCAGGGCTTATAGTGCTCTCATTTCTATAAGGCCGCAGGTAAAAATCTATTGTTTTAAACAAATCAAATAAAGGTCTGTTTTAAACTTTAGTGGAACTAACTATTGTCCCTGTCAGAATGTGTAATAGATTCTAATTGTTAAATCCCCCCTTTATATTTTTAGCACAAGTTGATGCTATATAAATGCCAATAATATTTTATGACATGAAAAGCACATTTTCAAATAGAAGTCAGACTTTTTTAAAAATTTTAAATAAAATCAAAATTATAGCATTGATTGCATTTTGTTTTTGTTTTTTTTATATTTTATTTACTTTACCAATCAGTTGTTTTTTATTTTTTTTCTATTTATTCCATGAAAGGAAATACTTCTGTCTGTTCATGATTGTGGCTTCTATATCAGCTTTATTTTATAAAAGGCAATGGTCGAGCATGACATTTAGGATTTGCATGACTTGCATGTGCCACACTAAATATTTATTTATTGACTAAATATTGTAGGAGTCAGAGGAGCCTATTCTTCCGCTGTGATGTCTCACAGTGGAGATGTAGCTAGAATGAATGAGGAAAATCAAGAATAAAAAGGGGGGGGAAGGACCCTCTTCCATTATAACTTAGTCAAAGACAATTAACTGTTATACTGTTTCAAATTTCCTTGTTAACCAAGACCTGCTGATTGTTTTACTGAAGTAGGCATGTTTTATTCCAGCCCAATTACCTGATAAACATGTGTGATTAAAAGTGGCATACTCTCATGTGCCCTACAAGGGTTGTACATTTTATGGTTAATTTATGTTTTCAGAAATAATCTTCCCATACCAGAAACTGATTTGCAATCAGGGGTATCTCATTCTGGTCTTTGATTTAATACATACAGATAGTTTTGTATAAAACAAATTAACATCAGCTCTGATAGCATGTGGTTATCACCTACATAGGGAGTGGAGGAGGTGACTATGGGGTCTGACCTGCAGAGATTTATGGAATACGTATTGCATCCCCCAGTAGCAGTTCCACTATTTAATCGTATCAATTATCTCCTGTTTAAACTGATAGTAGCTATATTGCAGCTGCCATCACTGTCACTAGTCGTGTGTGCGTGTTTGTATGCAGATACACGCAAAGTAAGAAAGAATTTATATCATGCCCATACAAGAGAGCAATTCTGGACACTTGATTGACAACTCCGAGGAGACTCTCCTGGAACTGGAATAAAGGGGAGTTTTATATATTTATATACTTGTCTCTCTACCGAGTCCAGTTGCCTGCTCACAACTACATATTAGTTAGTTTTGATGACAGTGCAGTACAGGGTTAGATGGGATAGATGGAGGTATACAAAATTTTACTCTGACTGTGAGATGGCTTCTGATTTGATTTAACAATTGTAAGTCATTTGAAGAAATTAGCAAATCAGTATTTACATTTTTGAAAACTGTGTGAATGTAAAGCCAAAATCTAAACAAATATTTTCATCAGGCAATATTTTTACATAATTCCAGTGAAACGTTCATTGGGCTTTGTGTTGTTTGAGACGTGATTAGCAGGAAATTACTTCACTTTACATTCTTACTTGCAGTGAGTCAGAAGCATTAGAAGTCTTTGTTAGGAAGTTTATTCCAATCTTGAGATAAATAATGTGCAGTTGCAGTGGCGTGGGAGGTTTTCAACATGTTAATGGATAATTCAAATTGCCATTTTTTTGAATTGTGACTCAAGCTGAAACGGCACCATATTATTTGGACCCAGGGATGCAGACCCATCAGATGTTCTTTCTTCAGGCTGCTGTGTAGCCTCATTCTGTTCCTCTTTTTTTCTAATGTACAGTAAAGGGCTGCTGTATGTAGTTTAATTTTAAATCCAGAACTGGGAATTAGATATGGCAGCTAATATATTCCAAAATGAATAGTAAGGCTGGTACCATTTTAACTACCACATATTTTTTTAATAAGTGTAACCGTCACAGATTAGCATTTTTCATATTGTTCTCATCCTCACCACTGTTTACAGGGATATGAAGGGCAGTGGATTAAAGTATACGACACACTTACCCAAGTATTATGGCAACAACTGTCCCATGATGGTCTGAGGTTGATGTACCCTGTGCCACTTGCTGAAAAATGTTGTAGGAGTACATACCCACTTGGACTTTCTTCCATAGTGCTAGACATGTGCATGGCACAGAGTGAAAGGGACATAGATTACTTTGAGACAACTGTCTCATTTAAAAGCTTTGTTTTGATTGAGACGGTTTCCTCACTCTAGACTAGAGGCTGGAAAAATGCAGCTAAATATGATTTCTCCCCCTATATTTTACCAGCTTCTTTCTTATGCTTTCAAAACCCTCTCTAGTGAGTTCACTGATCGAACTATCCAGTATCCTATCTTTATGAATGCTGGAAAATTGCATTGGGCATGCTGATCGATTTACACATGAATGGAGAGAAAAGTCTGAGTAGCGTGATTCACGCAGAGTAGGATCCAGCATCTGGTTTCTCTCTCCCTGCTGTGTTAGTGCAGACAGAATTAAAACTGGTTGCTCCTATACAACAATGTCCTGTTTCTGTCATTACTGGACTGGTCTGGATTAGTCGGTGGATAAGAGTTTGGCTGTTCCTTACCCAGTTTTATTCCTTCTACACATCTGTTTCTACTTTACTTTATGATGCTACATATTAAATTGATCAGTAGCACCTGATTATATGCATATTACATCCCTAACTCTTTGTAAGTGTATTTGTAGTATATGTATATAGTTTGTGTATATGTATGTAATATCCACTTGGAGGCAGTCTGGGTTTGAAAAGCACTGTAGTCGCTTACACTCTGTCTAAAATGTGAGCAGAGTACAGTAAGTATGTCATGTTTTGGTGTTTTAGGACCACTCCACACCCAGAAAGCTGGCTGAAGTGCTTTAGGGGTGGGGAGTATCCTGTTTTAATCCCAGTTTATAAAAGTGTCAATTTTCTATGAGAAAACAGTACTTTTAGAATTTAAATTAGGAAACACTCCGCTGATAGTCAGACAGCCAGGGAGATTTGCTTCTACCTTCCTATAGCTCCACTGAGGAGCCTGTTAGTGCTTGTCAATGAGAAATATCTGACCATTCCCCTAGCTTGATGAAAATGGGAGGGTTTGCAAAGTCTGCAGGCATACAAACTTTTTCAGTATACCAACATGCATAACTAAATGCATTCATGTTTTCATATGGGGTTAATCTACTAAATAGCATTTTTCCCCTTTCATTACAATTTTCCTATGGAGTGTTCCTTTTAGTCACATAAAAAATCGAAGAGATAACTGTTCTGTGTGCATTCATAGTTGTATCCTATATTTGGTAGGGACAGACCGATTATTAGAGCAAATATGTCATTTTTGATGATTGAATGTGTAAATATGTGTACAGTAAATAAGTGGATGCTGAAAATACAGGCTTTCAATAATATCCACCTAGGTTATTTTCAGTGAAACCACAGGGAGCAGAAAGTGTTCTAAATCAGGTGACAACAGGCAGTGGCTTAAATGTGTCTTTCTTTACATACAGTGTCTTACAGTATTCAGCTTTGTTCAGATAGTAAGCTCAGTGACTTCATATAGGCATCAGATATTTGATATGCATAATAAATACACAGTAGCCAGACGGGAACTGTTATAGAACATATCAAAACTAAACAATGTTAATTATTAATCTGATAATATTGGTATTTAATATAATTTGCATCTTTAATTTCCTATAGTTAAACGTATTAAATTGTTATACAGATTAATGCATCACTCTTGTACAATCTGTTTACTTTTGCAATTTACAAGGGAGTTGCAAATTGTAGACTGAAGTAGCAGATTTGAAATTACATTTTTGTTTCTCCAATCTTTGACTTTGGCCTAGAATTTGCAGTTACCTTTATCAATTCTCTGTTTAGATCACATATTGCTAGTGACACTTTTTGCTAGAGCACTCTGATTATGAAAAATATTTTTACCTGTCAAAATGTATATAAGAATGCATTCTACCTTCAGTAACATACTTTAGCAATATAGCAAGCCATACCATGAGCATTCATTTTAGTGCTAGAGTTTTTCTCACAATCCCCTCCATCATTCTAGTAATGAAGTTGACCGAATGTTGGAGAGACATGAGCGCCTCAAGCCAGAGATGTTCGCCGAGCTACTTCAAACTGCTAATACTGCTGATGACTTCAGAAAGTGTCCGGTAAGTAGATCAAAGAAATGGTCATTTATTGGTATGGATCCACCAGATATTATTTTAAAACCTTAAAACCTAGAGGGAGATAATGTCATTGGTAGAACTACATCTTTGGTTACTGCACTTAAGTGTTAAAAACTATATTATAGTAAAGTACAATATTTATCTATCAACAATAATACACAGTAAGTGGTTACACTAGTTATGTTGCTTTGTTTTGTGAGCTTTAAGTGTGTGTCTATGTGCTCCTACATCACGTAAAAGACAAGTCACGTCAAAATTATTATTTTTTTCATATATAATCCTTTTATCAAGTTTTGAGAAGAAATGGTTTTATGCACCTATGGATTAGACGATATTTGAAAACCGTTTTTATTGTCCACAGAGACTATCTGACCCAAGGGGCATGTATAGGGTTAAATAATCCTGTCATGCTAAATTTAAGGATTACATTTAATTTATTTTTTAAATCTTTTTCCTTTTAATTCTTAGTCAAAGGATTGGTATATTAAATATCTTTTATTTGTGACAGTTGTCCTTCAAATGAAGAAACAAAGGGTGTTCAGTGAAACACATTTTGATTAGGTCTCTTTCCCCCAAGTGGGTAATGAGTCTTACTGTATTTTCATGCATGTTTATTAATTTTTTTTAAATTTTATTTTAGAGCAATTGTGGCCAAAAGATCAAAATCCGCAGAGTATTAATGAACTGCCCAGAGATTGTAACAATCGGTTTAGTTTGGGATTCTGAGAACTCTGACCTGACTGAAGATGTTGTGCGTAACCTGGCTACACAACTCTATTTGCCTGGGGTATGAAAATACTTTATTTTTTTCCCATGGAGTTTTTGTGCGTGCTTGCTAGCTAAAAACCTTCAGGCTGATTCTTAAAATGCTCAGTTTCACCCACTTTGTATATAGTAACACTGAAGAATCATGGGTACATATGCTCCTTGCATACATTATGATACAAGGAGCTTCCTGTTACTGTCTTCCTTTATCCTTTCAATTGTAGCTGTACACCAACACCCTATTTTGTAGGTTCAAGTGTACAGAAAAAATAAATAAATCTTGCACGGCATGCAAAAGATATGCTACCTGGCCAGGTAATTGGAGCTTTATAGGTATTTATGGGATGTGCACAGTGCTGCCATTGGAAACCATTTGTAATGAAATTGCTCATCTAATAAACCTTCAAAACGAGATTACTTGGGTAACGCTTAGTAGCTATCCAGATCAAAAAACTAGGACTCCCATTATCCTTTAGTAAAAACCTAGGACTCCATGATAATACACATCAGAATATGCGGAGCAACACAAATCAATCACAAACAATAATTTATTAAACATTACATATAATATAAGTAATCTCATACATGTATATTCATTTACTGGATATGCTAAGTTAAATGAAGTACTTCAAAGCATTTGTCCAATTTCTTAGCTCATATAAACCACATATGGCCAAATCAATAAAATCAGACATTTATTGAAAAATGGGGGAGGGGGAGGGGAGGGAATAAAGAAACCCATCAATTGGGATAGGGACAATGAATAAATGCCTGTGTGTTTCTATGAATTTAGATCTTGAACTTTTTTTATACTATCTATAAATCAAGAGTTGGTAAGATACCTGTGGCAATATATATTTGGTACTAAACATTTAGAGTATGAATTTATTCTAAGTAAAGTTTTGTGATGTTGTTGTTTCATATTTACTTGACCCTAATGTGTACCTAATTCAGCCTGGGTAGCTATCTGTTTAATGAATTCACTAACACTCTGTTCTTCCATAGTTATTTTTTAGGGTAACCGATGAGCAAGCAAAAGAGAGTAGACTTTACCTTGTGGGTATGATCTGCTACACAAGCAAACACTACTGTGCCTTTGCCTATCACACAAAAAGTGCCAGATGGGTTCTTTTTGATGATGCGTCCGTGAAAGAGGTAAATATTCTAGATTCTGATCTGGTCTCCTTATGAACATGAAATGTTTCCAATATGTAGATATGTAGTCTGTGATCGGATTGTTGTACTAGATATTTTAATGATCTCTGCATGCCTTAAAAAGTTATTATGCCTGACATACAGTGTATATGAAGGGTTAAACGCTTTATTCACTTTTTTTTTCCTGCTAGGGCTACAATATACTTTTCAATAAATTAATTCTGTCCTTAAAGAAAACTGAATTATCCAATATAACACATCAGTGGTTTTTAAACTTTAAATGTTTCTGTACTTAAAGATTATCTAAAATGTAATGGCTTGATGCATTGTGTTTTTTCTGAAGGATTATACATTTCTAGGTTGCTTTAGGATTGTTTTCATATAATCTGTTTGTTATTGGCTTACGACTGTCTTTGGGTATGGATATTTAATAATGAAGTGAATAAATAGTGTCAACCACAGAGTTTTACGAATGTTTGTTTTATTTGTATAAAACAACAAAGCACTTATTCTGGATCAGTGCTGTAAATGCAGAGACATTTAACATAGAATGTAAAGGATAATGTGATCTAATTGGAGATGACCGAAAAAACGCACATGACTGTTTTGCATTTTAGGTGGTTGGTTAGTTCTATTTTTGGAGGTTTTAAAATAAGCATTTCAGGTCCATTTCTTTCTCTTAGTATTAAAGTTTTGTATTTAAGAGATGAATTTTGGCTTTGGCATTGCCTTAACATGAGACATCTAATCTGTCTTTTAGGTTGGAAACAAATGGAAAGATGTGGTCACAAAGTGCATTCGCTGTCACTACCAGCCTCTGCTTCTGTTTTATGCTAACCCAGATGGCACAGCAGTTACTACAGAAGATGCACTAAGACATGTTCTGCAATGGTCTCACTATAAAAGAGTGTTTAACAATGAGGATACAGGTAAGTTTGTTACTGTGTAGGGTTTTAACTGCCGAATCAGTGAGCCGAATTCCATTTATAATTTGTATTCTTTCTTTAAAGGATCACTATAGGGTCAGGAACACAAACCTGTATTCCTGACGCTATAATGTTAAAACCACCATCTAGCCCCCCTGAACCCTTCATAAATATAGCAAAATATTACTGTATTCAAGCCTGAAGCTGTAACTCTGCATGCTGTTAGTCTCCGAAAAACAAGCTGTCTGTTGACATCATTTGAAGTGGTGGCCTGATCCAATCACAGTGCTTCCCCATAGGATTGGATGAGACTGACAAGGAGGCACATCAGGGGCAGAGCCAGCATTATTCGAACACAGCCCTGGCCAATCAGCATCTCCTCATAGAGATGAATTGAATCAATTAATCTCTATGAAGAAAGTTCAGTGTCTGCATGCAGAGGGAGGAGATACTGAATGTTTAGATGCATTTTAGGCAGCCATGACCCAGGAAGGATCTCTAACAGCTATCTGAGGAGTGGCCAGTAATGTAAACACTGCATTTTCTCTGAAAAGAGTGTTTTACAGCAAAAAGCCTGAAAGTAATGATTCTACACACCAGAACAAATTCAATAAGCTGTAGTTGTTCTGATGACTATAGTGTCCCTTTAAAATTCTGTAAAATCCACCTGGTATCTGAAGTACTCAGTATCCCCGTTCTTTGCAAGACAGCAAGGGAAAGTAATCTCTGCAGCTTGCAGTAATTGGCATGTATATTTAGACCTTTTAAAGTATGTGTTTGGTTTAAAGAGGAAACTACACATACCGTATTTATGTTTGTGAAATAGATATATACATTCATATACATGCACACACATTATTTGTGTGTGATGGCAGATCTAGTTTTTCCAGTTTTGCCTGAGATATGGTTTCCAGACTGCACGGAGGCGATCTCTGCAATATTCTCTGCTCATTACAGGAAATATTTGTACGGGTGATGTCACCATCTGTGCAGGAAGTTCAGCAGATATATTTACTGTGCATGTGAAAATAAGAAGGGGAATCTAATGGAAAACTTTATTTTGCTTGCAAAGGTAATGAAAGAACATCAAAGAATCAAGAGTACAACAGAGAGGAGTTTGTAGAACATGTCTATCAGAACAGCGGGCCTGTTCTCCAGATGGAAGATCCTGGATTTAACAGAGGTGCTGTACAATCCAGCGCTGGTAGAGGACCTGGTATGCTACCTATCCTGTTTACACTTGTTAACATGCATGTTTTAAATCGAGCAATTGCACAAAATTAGCAAAGCTTCATACAACTATATTACTCCATTGTGTTGCTGTTTATTAATACAATTTTAAAGGGACAATCTAGACCCCATAATCTCTACCTTTTTTGTTTGGGTACAGTCCATATGTGCAGCATTTCATTTTGAAACACTGCACATACATACCCCTGGCAGCATGACCATTTCAAAACACTGATATAGTCACAGTGTTTAGAGTAACGCTGTAAAGAAGATATTGTCGGTTTCTAATAATTCAAACTGTTTGGTTTCTTCAAGTAAGTGTGATTTGTGGTAGATCAACAATCAAAATAGCCCCCCACCCCTCATTTCACATTTGATGAAAACATATGAGTGGATAACTTGTCAAAGAGTAATGAAGTAATAATTGCTTAGCATCTTGTATATATAATAGCAAACGGAGGAAAAGGCTGTTGTGCTTAGTACTTGAGTATATATGTGACATAAGGATATTTTTTTTGGGGGTGGGGGGTGTAGTAGAGTTTCTGTCTTTGGGCCCTGAAAGTGGAGTTTCCATCGGGTCCTGTGTCTAATGTGTGAGCGAGAGTTAATTACGCCCATGGTGGAGATTTCCCTCCCCGAAAGTAGTAGTAGGTGTAAAATTCTCTCGCCAAGCAAAAGTATGGGAAGGGATTGGGGGGATGTTTAACAATTTTATCTGTTTTAAACCCATGTCAGTTGGGAACCTGTACTGATATTGCACAGGTGATATTCTGGAGTTGGGTTTGAACCTGCTTAGAAGCCCCTGTCCTGTATATGCTTATAGTGTGGGTACTGTGTGGTGACACTGCCCTGTATTCCCCTTTATAGGGAGGTAGGGGTAGGAGTAAAAAGGTAGTAGCAAACAAAAGTAAAAGAGAAAACAACAATAAGGTAATATCAACTTTTCAACGGTGTTACTGAAGAAGTCCCTGGTGTTATATGGGGTCTTGGTAGTGAAGACATCAACCTCCATGCCTCGACTGGCTCCCTGTCAGGTTGCAGCATCGATAGGCGAGGTTTGCCGTCCACGGCATGAATTCTCTGATCCTTGCCAAGTCTATAGTGGACAGGCTCCTTCTCTCATCAGTAGAAGGCGAATCAATTTGCAGCTTCTTCAGATGATCTCCTAGCGCCTGATAGGTTTCCGTATGGTGAGTGGTGCCTTGACTGATGATCAGGACTGTGCGCGGTAGACGCCATCGGTATGGCACTTAGTTTGCACGCAGCAATTGAAGCAATGGTCGCAGGGATCGGCGTGAGATCTGGGAAGAGGAGAATTGTGGCACAGTCAAAGGTAAGTGGGAAGGAGGGCTTTGTCCTGCAGGGACCTAAAGTGGAGGATTAGGCCCGGAGCAGAGGAAGGTGGCGCCCCAGGCGGCTTGGGGATACAGAACATGCCATCTAGTTTTATGGCCTTTGCGTCCTTCGGTGATAAGTAGGCTGCAAAGAGTCATCTGACAAAGTGAGGGAGATCGGACAGTCCCACCGATTCCGGCATCCCCCTAAGCTTCTGGTTGTACCTGCGTCACTGATCCTCAAGGGTATCGATCTTGCCTTCAGCCCTCTGCTGGTGCAGGTCCGCCAGGCCCTTCTCCACCGCTACAAGCCGGGTATCGTGAGCGCCCTGGGTGGTCTCAGGTTGGACCAGCTTAGCGGTCGTGCTTTCAACGGCTTTCTTAAAGGGGGTCAGTTGGCCCACTATGTTCTCACGGAGCTCCGCCAGCATCGCCTTAAGTTGGGCTGCAGTGACTGGATCACAGTCTGCCTCTGCCGGAAGGTGATTTCTCCTTGTCCGGTGTGCGGGGCACTTTCCAATGGACCATAGCTATGTCTTACTAGGTGTAGCCCTCGTCCATGCGCGCCATATTGTCCCATGCGGCCTTCTGTGAATTCCAGAATAGGTCGCTGATATTTTGCCCCAGCAGGCTCCTGTCAGGCTTATGTTTCTTATTTTAATGGCCCATAGTGTAGCATCCAGCCAGGGGAGTGTCTCCAGCAAGATTAGGTGAGTGTTTTCTCTCCAAATTCCATCTTTTAGGGCAGCATTACACGTTGCTCATGGAACATGCAGTCGTCCAGGTTCCCGGCTAGGCTCCGCCCCCCACCTCCCTTCAACTTTACACAACATCATGTTTACTTTAGTGCCCTGTTGATTGAACTTTAATCAAACGCTCAGGAGCCTACACTAGAATACAATTAATACTGCAATAGATAAGAAAATTAAATAAAACACACTGTGCAGGAAGGGATGGTAAAAGTTTAAGCCCATTTTATAAAGTGTAGGTCACATCCAGGGGAGGTGTGGTAAGTCTGCAGAAATTGTGATTTACTGCTTAAATGGCAAAGCATGAAGCAGTTAGGTTGTAGGAGCATGATCTATAGCACTGATACCCAAAAGGTAGATCCCCAGATGTTGTAGAACTAAATCTCCCATGATGTTGTGCATGTCTTTAGAATGCTTTAGAATAGCAAACCATCATAGAAACTGTATTAAAACATTTAGAGATCTACCTTTAGGGCACCCCTGATCTATGGACAAAAACCACTTAATTAAGCTAACTTTGTTTAATGCTTCGTATCCTTTTAATTGTAACTATTAACCAAACAGTACATATCTGAATAGTCTACCTCATTTTTTTTCTGTAAATACTGCGAAAATCTTGCATATACCCAGTTTCATTATAACATTGTGTTCTTTAATAGTTAAGCTAACTCGCAATGATCAACAAGAAAAGTTTAAAGATCTCTCCAGAGAGTGTGCTCAAAGAGCTGCTAACCTGAAAGGCAACTCATCCTCGCAAAGAAAAACTGTGGACAAAGTGCAGAAGAAAGAAATTTCCAGGCCAAAGGGTAATCTTAAAATTTTTTATTTTAATTCACTGTTATAATTATTCACCATACTTGGAATTTGGAAGATTTTTATATAGGAATTAAACCTTTGATGCCAAAATTAACTGAACTTCAATTTATTTATTTTTTGCGCATACTTGCTTTAAATGTGCAATTCCCATGGAAATTCTCCACAGTAACGTTTAGTGATAAGCCAGTTTGTGCCATTGTATTTTTATTTATTTTTTTACTTCATTTTAATATTACAGTTTGATGTTACACGCAAAAACAGTGTAAACAAAGCTTAATATTGATATTATTTATATCTGTATGTAATTTATTGAATTTTATGTCTTAGAAACCTCTGGAGGTGGAATTTACCAGCCAAAGCCGTATGCTGGAGTACAGACAAAGTCTGGTTCTTCTACTGCTGGTACTGGCTTTAGACATTATCCTGAGCCAAACGTTTACCACAGTCAAGGGAAAGGACCATACAAACATGAGAGACCTGTACATCAATCAAAGCAACCTCTGTCTAGTACAGTACATGCTACAGCACCTGAACCAAAACCAGTCACTCGAGTCAAAAGTAGTAGTGCCATCGGATATGACACAGACAGCGGCCAGGACTACAGAGAGAGGGGAAGTAATCGAAACCGAAAACAGTGGCGGCCAATGCGGGAGACACTCAATGTCGATAGCATCTTCAGTGAAAATCAAAAAAGCCCACAAAGCCCCAGACATGTGAGTAACTCTAATGGTAAATACCAGCCTGTCAAAGATCAGAGCTATCCATCCTCACTGAAGGAGAGTCCCAAGCGCAAGGTTCTAATGACCATTTATGAGGATGAAGTAAAGCAGGAATCTGGCAGCAGGAGCTCTCTGGAATCTGTTGGGAAAAATCAGGTCGAAAGGAACAAACTTAACCCTGATACCAAGGCATACCACCTAGAAAGCTGGCAGATGCAGAGAACGGAGTCTGGGTATGAAAGCAGCGATCACATCAGTAGCGGATCAAGCAATCTGGATTCTCCCATTATTGAAGGAACCAGTTTCGCTGATTTAAAAAACATTCAAGAAACAAGTATTTGCGGGTAAGCTTTGACTTAACAAAAATCTTGCATATATATTATCTATCTATCACAATTTGTTTTCAAGACCCCACTTGGTCTGTTCTTCAAAAAGAATCAGTATGTGCTAACATATCAAATTAACAAAGCAAATGATCAAAATATGTTTTTATCCCCCTTCTTACTTGGGTTTTGCTCCCCGCCTCCATTTGCTTGGGTTTTGCTCCCCACCTCCATTACCAATGCTGGAAGCTCCTAAGCAGGGGCTTCCATTAGCTTTCTCGAGCTTAGCCATGTTGCAATTATTCATTTATAATTGTTTTGAGAGGTGGAGGGGGGTAAAAACATAATTGATAATTTGTTTCATCAATCTGATATGTTGGCACATACTGATTCTCTCTGAAGAACAGACCAAGTTGGGTCTTGAAAACAAATTGTGTTCTATGAATTGTGCATTAAAAAGCAAAGCAATATCACAAAGTAGGACATGGTCTTCTCTTGAAACATTATGGTATTCTATATGTCCCTTCAAGCAGTAATTACATTTATTTTAAATGTACACTCCAAACATCACATCAGTTTATGCTCATTGCACAGTTGTATTGCAAGGAGCTTCATGCCTTTCTGTGTTGTGCACTGCAGCAACTTCCAATAAGCCAACATTTGGGAAGCTATGTCCATTTACACATGTTGTACAATCCTATATAAATTGCACAGATAATCTCTGATCATACAGAAACCTCACACCATGAACATTTTTTTTTTCCCATCAAATAAATTGAATGAAGTTAAGCTAAAGAGAAAGTTTGTGCCTGTGACTTCTCAGTGTTTGCAGAGTAGACTTTTTCCATATCATTTTATAAAGGAAACCAGTGAAAACTGCTGAGCGACATAGGCTGATCAATGTTTTCTAGGGTATAGACAGAGCTCCCTGCAGAGTGGGTGAGTCAAGATTTGCTGTAAGTTGGCCACCTCCTGGTCAATGCAGAAACCATAGATATGGAGCAAACAAGATCATTTCAGTTTAGTATCTAGTTATTATTAGTGACATCTCACTTCCTGTTTCTAAGTGTCAGACATTTTAAAGAGAGCTGAAAATGGCAAATTTTAAATATGGTAATCCTTAAACAGACACTAAAAGACTGTGTGAATTGGCTTAGCCCCATTTAATGTGGTGTCTCTTAGTGCATGGCTATAATAGATTTTAGCTTCTCTTCATTAATAGAGATATATTATTTTCATAAAATATGGCACGTGTTTGCCGTCTGTTCCCTTTCACTGCTATACAAATATGCTGCTCAGCGGTCTGTTGGGAGAATCTGATGTGGATAAAGATTAACTTGCGAGAGACTGTAAAATTCTTTTGGCATTGCCGATCTTTGGAAAATATTGATGGGGGAACAAATTTTAATGCTGGGAAACACCAAAATTTAATTTCAGAGCACTGCAGAAACAAGTAGATGACTTTCTTTCATTTTATTGTGTGTTGAGATTTTTTAATTTGTCCACTAATGCCAATTTATAAATCTACTGGAGTAACTTAACTTGGTTAAAATTAAATACTCATTAAAAATGAAATTTAAAGCTCCACAGGAAACACTGTCACAAATCGGCTTACATAAAACAAATGGATCTAGTAAATACACACATTAAAATGTAGTAGAAAATGTAGATTATATAAGCGATTAGGTTTCTATACAGCATCATGCTAGGTAATTAATTCCCCTGTTCTTTATGTGATGTTCATATTCCTTTTGTTTTTATGGCCTTCCTTGTTTTTATAACTGGCTAACTGCATACATTTTCAACTTTATTACACGTTATATGCTTATATTTAAACCCTTGTGACACATAAATATTTGCCTTAGGTCTTTGTGTAACGTTCTCTGTAATTTCCAAGAACAATTGGCATTCAAGCTAAAATAACACTGTGTGTGCTGTAAGCTAGCTTTCAGGATGCACACGTCAAAATACAGTTCTAGAACGGAGGTTGTGATTTGATGTTGCAGACTGTAAATCCCATGGATCATTCTGTTGACTCTAATTAGCCTTCGACTATGTGAGTTCAGTAATCAGGACTATTTGGTAGCATTGCTGCACAAATATGATTTCCCTTTTGTCATCTATCAGTTTATTTAAAGTGTTGTATGTATCCAAATGAGTTGAGGATTTAGTTACTTTATTTTTTTTTTTTTTTTAAACATGCATATTTGCCTTATGGTTGATTAAGCAGACTGTTCTCTACTAGTTCCTAGGATATTTGTAGGACCGCTGTCACAAGAATTTAGGTAGATGTATCCTAGACCAACAGATGGATTGAAGTAGTACAATCCATTTTCTTGAAAACAGAATTTATATTTACAGTCAAGGGGGAAAAAAAATAAAATAATAACAATAGTCTGTTCCTTAGCAGGTCTTAAAATTGGGTATATCCAACCTCAGATGAACACGACATATTACACCGTGTTGTGATTTCTTTAACATTAAGCCAAAATGGAGAAGTAATATGTGAAAAAATTAAGTACACCCTTACTGCTTCCATATGGAATTAAGAGGCTAAGTAGCAGACCGGTGCTGCCCTTAATTGATCATCAGCAAAAGTGACTGTGACTAGAAAGCCAGGGTTTTAGCAGATTGCTGGTCTTGAGCATTCAGGTATGTGTTGGTACAATGCCAAGGAGGAAATGCATCAGTAATGATCTTGGAGAAGTATTTGTTGCTGCCCATTAAACTGGGCAGGGTTATAAAGCCATTTCTAAACCATTTGAAGTCCGTCATGCTACAGTGAGATTATTCAAAAAAAAAAAAAAAAAGTGGAAAACATTAAAGTTGCCAATCTTCCCAGAAGTTGATGTCCCAGTAAATTCACTCCAAGGTCAAACCATGCAATGCTTAGAACTGCAAAAAAAAAAAACAAGTTTACCTCTCAGACTCTACAGGCCTTAGATAGCAAGTTAAATATTAAAGTTCATGACCGTACAATTACAAAAAGATTGAACAAGTATGGTTTGTTTGGAAGGGTTGCCAGGAGAAAACCTCTTTTCTCTAAAAAGAAAGTGTCAATACGACTAAGGTTTGCAAAGTTGCATCTGAACAAACCACAAGACTTCTGGAACAAATGTCCTTTGGTCAGACAATACCAAAGTGGAGATGTTTGGCCCTAATGCACAGTGCCATGTTTGGCAAAAAACAAAAACATCATATCCGCTCAAGCACTTGAGTAGTGAGGATTCGGGCTTGTTTTGCAGCCACAGGAGCTGGGAACCTTGCAGTCATTGAGTCAACCATGAACTCCTCTGTATATCGTAGATAGTCTCATATTTGACTCAAGAATACTGCCTGACAGTTATACTTGGTTGAAATTGGGTCATGCAACAGGACAATGATCCCAAGCACACTAGGAAATCTACAACAGAATGGCTGAAAAAGTTAAGAATCAAGTCAAAGTCCAGGCCTCAACCTGATTTTGAAATGCTGTGCATAAACAGATGCCAGCAAACCTCAATGAACTGTAAAGAATGGGCCAAAATTCCTCCACATTGTGAGAGACTGATAAGGTCATACAGAAAATTATTACTTAAAGTTATTGCTGCTAAAGGTGGTTCTACAAGCTGTTGAATCATAAGATGTACTTTTTCACACATGGCTTCTCCATTTTGGCTCTATTTTTGTTAATAAATCATGACAGCGTAATATATCATGTGTTGTTGATCATCTGAGGTTGTATTTACCTAATTAGAAGACCTGCTAAGGAACAGATAATTATGTCCTGATACGTAAAACAAAAGAATTCAAAGAGGTTGTACGTTCTTTTTCCCATGACTGGATATAGATTTGTCATTAAGAAAATACAAAAAAAAAGTCCTATTTTTATGCTTTATTGCCTAGGGGTTAAACATCAACATTTTATTAAGTGTTCTTGCATAGCAAGACCACTTAATGTTATCTCACATATATGTTGTTGTTGTTATTGTTATTATTATTATTATTATTGCCATATTTATCACCCTAACTCCTCCCACAGTTTTTAAACTACATAGACAGTAATATACCGAAACGTGCGGATTGTTCCCGATTGGATTGCTATTACTTTGTGGAACGTTTTGCCAAATGGGTCAACAAAATATTGTCGTCCTTGTGGCGAAATTGGTCCCATAGGAATGAATGGCAAAATGTTCAAAACTAGAGTGGGAGCTGGCAAAAGCAGAAAAATCAGGACATGATTTCTAACGCCGTTTATTGACATTCATTGAAACTTCACTCTAGCCAGCTCCAATTTGATGGGCAAGTTCTAAACTGTGACTGTTCCTTCATTTTTAATATTTCAGAGACATACTGATAATGTATCAGAATGTAGGTCTGGGTCTTGTGATTCTCTCAATATAAAGCTCTTCGCTGTAGGATTTATAGTTTTTATAATAGGACCATTTGAAAATGGCAACCGCCAAAATACTCTGACCTGTGCCAGGCTGGACCAGCAGGTGATGTCATAGACAGGGCCTTTTGTACACCTGGTAATGTTTTTATAAATGTATGTTTTAATGTAACTGTGAAGCACTTTGGGCAACAACGTTGCAATTAAATGTGCTATATAAATAAATAAGTTACTCCACCCACTCCAGTTGCAGACTACTGGTGTAGGCAAGAACACTTCACACAATTTCCCCAGAAATTTTAGCTTTTCTAGATAAATTTGAACTTTTAAAATGCAATGTTAGGTTTCTTTTTAAAAGACTGTAATATTAATATATATATATATATATATATATATATATATATTTGTTTGTATTGAAAAATACAATGTTATACATTAAATGTTTATTTTACATATTGTGTATTATGCATGGGGAATTTTGTATCACCTTTCACCTGGTACATGTAGTTCCAGGTGCCGGGCAATCTTTTTTTCTATTACATTAGCCCTGCTGCACACAAGAGGCAGGTCTACAACCGGAAAGGATTAGTGCCAGGGCAGGGAGCATGTGGGCACATATGGCGGGTACCGACCACACTAACTGCTTCCTTAAAGTGCAGCGCTTCCTAATGTGCCAGAATACCTGCATTCTGACTCTCTAAGTGCCAGAACTAAAAGGAGCAATTACTGTAATCTGCACTCACTTAAGGTGCAGACCACTTGCTCATCTGTACCTGGGCTACCAGTAATCAAGTAGGCCCATAATTTCTCAGGATAACACACAAACAATTGTCTCATTTAATATCCCATGAAGTGCCCATAAAAGCACAGATTTATTGGTCAAAAATAGTGTGTGTGTATATATAAAGCAACATATAGCAGACAGAATCATCTCACAGGCAACTCTGGTATATCTAATAAAATATGGTATAAAAATGGCGTAAAATGCAAACTGCCACCAGTTCCTGTATCGATGGAGAAACCAGACAAAATGCAGATAAGTTGGATGGAAAGACCCCTTAAGTGGATGAATGCCTTTCACTTCTGTTAAAACACTTTATCAACATAACATTATCTAAGGTATTGATGTGAATATAAAGGAAAAGAAAAGCACATTAGCAATCACTAATGAGAGAAACCACATCCCTAATCAGAATGAGAGGGGGGAAAAAGGAAAAAGACATCAGCCCAATGTATACCTAAATAATCAAAATAGTAATACAATGTTGAATGATTGCAAATGATTACATTAGCTTACCTTCAGTTCTTTCTAATAAAAAGGAGAGCAGACCATAGAACAAGAGAGCATTAAAGGGACAATATAGTCACCAAAACAACTTTAGCTTATTGAAGCAGTTTTGGTGTATAGATCATGCCCCTGCCGTCTCAGTGCTCAATCCTCTGCCATTTAGGAGTTAAATCAATTTGTTTATGAACCATAGTCACACCTCCCTGCATGTGACTTGTACAGCCTTCCTGAACAATTCCTGTAAAGAGCTATCTAATGTTAATCTAAATTAAACAGAATTTGCAATAAAAGGAAGGATTATCTCCTGCTATGTTAATAGCTTACTAAACCCTGCAAGAGCCTTCTGTATGTGATTAAAGTTCAATTTATAGAGCAAAAGCTAAAATTGTTTAAGGTAAATTACATCTGACTGAAAGTGAAAAGTTTTTAAAAAACAATTTTTTTTTTTTTTTATGCAGGCTGTCAATCAGAGCCAGGGAAGGTGTGGCAAGTGCTTTATAAACAGAAACAAAGTGATTTAACTCCTAAATGGTAGTGGATTAAGCAGTAAAACCCGAGAGGCATGATCTACACACAAAAACTGCTTCATTAAGCTAAAGTTGTTTAGGTGACTATAGTGTTCCTTTAAAATATAAACACTGTACTGCTATAGGTTCCTGCTTGCTAACATTGCTTCCCATACAAGGGTGCATCACCTAAACTTCCTACTTCTTTACACATACCAAGTCCAAATAAGGTCCAAATTAACAAGAACAGGGAACAGACCATAAAATAGGAAAGCATAAAAAAACTATACCACTACCAATTCTTGTTTGTTAACCATGCTTTTTATTCGAGGGTACCTCACTTAAACTTGGCTCTAATTCACAAATTTCAAGTTCATATAAGGTCCAAATATACATATACAGAAGAAGAGAAACCCTCAATGCTCAATGTAAAATATAAACAATATAAGTTTCTGTCAAATTAGATCAAATAATTAATCTTTCCTACAAGCACTTGAAAATGGCTCTCCACTGGATGGGCTGTCTTAAAGGAATATTTGGTCATTGCGATCGAAAGTCTTAGGACTGCTTATAAGACTGTGGTTGTATGTTGATGAATTGATCATAGCAGACTAACCCCCATGAAGCCTGCTCCTATATCGATATCCCTCATTCCCAATTCCAAACACCCAAGCAACATCCAATTTATACTATGACACCACAATATTGAGTGATTTTTTTTATTTATTTTTTTTTTAATCGATAATTATACAATATAAAGAATACACATCCAATTGTTAAATGCAACCAACAATTTATTTTCTGCTATAATCCGATTCCTACATACCCATAATGTGATGGTTGATCCCTAGGGAGTCATTGGAGATGGGCCTATTCTAATCTAGATAGGTAAACTCTCAAGTGACCCAAACCATAATACGTCCCTAAAAAAAAAAAAAAAATCCTCCGGACCGAAGTCCCTTAAATATAATAAATACAAATATCTCAGATGGTCTCTTCTAGAGTACCTAATGTCTAAATACTTCTCTAACATATGGATCCAAAACATCTGGACGTTTCTGCCATAAAGTTTTTTTTGAAGAGTCTCTGAAATTTTTTTTTTTTGCCAGGACAGGTAGTTTGGGCTATCTCTTGGAAAAGCGGATTTAAATAAAAATAAAAATTCACCCCTCTGTTAATGGATTGCAGGACGTTTAGGAATTGTATGTTCTGTCTGGCTATATAGTGCTATCTGGCAATATATTTCATGTACTCCTGCTTTGAAATAAATTGGTCATTGCCAATATCACAATGAACCACTGTGTGTACTATTGGTGTGAAATCAATTGATTACAGCTGCACAACACTTCCAAACAGTGCCTTACAAATTCAAAATACATTGAATTGCATTGGGGAAAAATATAGCATTTCAATAAGCATATTTTTGACTTCCTTCACAGAGCATTTACATGTCCAGTGTACTGTCATTTATTCATTTACAAAACCTATTTTTGTCTGATAAAAATAAATACTGGCCATTAAGTTTTTTTTGAAGAGTCTCTGAAATTTTTTTTGCCAGGACAGGTAGTTTGGGCTATCTCTTGGAAAAGCGGATTTAAATAAAAATAAAAATTCACCCCTCTGTTAATGGATTGCAGGACGTTTAGGAATTGTATGTTCTGTCTGGCTATATAGTGCTATCTGGCAATATATTTCATGTACTCCTGCTTTGAAATAAATTGGTCATTGCCAATATCACAATGAACCACTGTGTGTACTATTGGTGTGAAATCAATTGATTACATACTGCTGCACAACACTTCCAAACAGTGCCTTACAAATTCAAAATACATTGAATTGCATTGGGGAAAAATATAGCATTTCAATAAGCATATTTTTGACTTCCTTCACAGAGCATTTACATGTCCAGTGTACTGTCATTTATTCATTTACACAAACCTATTTTTGTATGATAAAAATATATGGCATTATAGGTCTACAGTTTATTGTAAAATAAAGTTGAGAAATATTCTTTACTTTGCATGTCAGAGGATTGCTACACCGAGATAAACAGCTTAACTAAAACTTATTTGGAACAGTTTTGTCCAATCTGTGTTCAGTATAATGTAAACATAACGTATATTTCACGCACTAATAAAATCCTCTTGTTTTATTTCAGTGATAAGCTTCAGCCAGGAAATATCATACTTTCTACCTCTCCACGGACAAGAAGGCATTTGAATGGTAAACAGTTTAAGTTTCTTTGTGAGATGTTTGTTTCTGATTTCATTATTTATTTTTCTCGTAGTGGTAAGAAAATGTTGTAGTAAAACATTGTTGCTTATCACGTTAATAAAATCTTCTCCCACGTACGTGTGTACGTGTGTGTGTGTGTGTATATATATAATATATATATAATATATATATATATATATATAGTGTGTGTGTGCCTACTCTGCAGCAATATATCGGAACAGAGTGAGGCGAGGGAGCTCTGTCTGTGCTGATGATCTTCCTGCTCCCTCGCACGCCCTCTGTGGTGATGCCAAAAGCCGGAATATGATGTCATTCCGGCCCCCGCATTACTAAACAGTACGAGGGAGGAGAGAGGAGCAGGAAGATCATGAAACTCACTGGACCCTGGGGAGAGGACCCAGAGGACTCCTAAGGGTAGGAGCAAGAATCAATACAGTTAATATTGTGTGTGTGTGCAAAACTGTGTAAATGTGTGTGTGTGTCTATCTATCAAGAGTGTGTCTGTCAGTAAGTGTGTATGCATGTCTGTCAGTGAGTGTGTGTTTTTGTGTGTGTCAGTAAATGTATCTGTCAATGAGTGTTTTTATCTCAGTGGGATTGTCAGTGTGTATGTGTGCGTGTTTGTCAGTAAATGATTGTGTGTTTCAGTAAATGTATCTGTCAGTAAGTGTGTCTGTCAAGTAAGTGTTTGTGTGTGTCAAGAGTGAGTGCCAGTGTGTCTGTCAGCAGATCCAGCCATTGGGGTGTGCAAGCTGTGTGGTAACGCAGTGCGCCATGAAAAAAGGCGCCCAGCGGCCAACGTGGCTTGCAAGTTGGGGACACCAGCATATTTAAATTTAAACGATTCCCTGATGGTCCACTCGTGCGCACCAGCAGTAGTTGGTCAGATCATATTCTCTCCCTCGTGGTTCTGGCTCTCAGTTAGTGAGTCAAAGAACAGGCTCAGAGATACTCAACCTGCGCTGTGACAACATTGAAAGCCAGAGTCGTGAAGGAGTGGGTATTATGATCTGAAACAGGACGTGCGTTTCCTGCTATTTACCACCGGACTGCCAGAGAACGGATTTAGGCTACCACTGGACCACCAGAGTAATTTGAGGGGGCATTTGTGACCAAGCACTAGAGTAAGGGGGCGCTGCAGGGAAGAGTGTCGCAGCTTGGAACATGGTAGGACTGAGGACAGTGAGTGGCTGCTTTAGAATGCAGCCTTGAAAACCTTCCAGCCTTAGAAACTCCCCCAGTATGTAGCTGGCAAAGGAGCTGATGAGTGTAGGTGGTGTTACACCAGCAATACTCTGCTGAGTAGAACTACCTACCCTGTCACATAACACACCTGAACACCAGTTCAATTAACCTACCAACCAACCTGCTATACATAAGCCTATGTCTGTGACGGAGTGTGTTGTGTGTCTATGTATGGACTTTGTGTGTCTTTAAATGTATGTGCCTCTGTGTTTTTTTTTTGTTTTTTTTGCTTTTTTATTTTTTTTAGGAATGTTTGTAGCTGTGTTAATGAGTGCGTGTAGGTCTGTGACTATGTTCTGGTGTGTCTGTGTCCATGATGATGTATGTCTCTGATTGTGATGGTGTGTGTTAATTCATGTCTGACAAGGTTATTCACTTAAACAATTGTCAGGAATACAATGCTTCCAGTTTGACAGAATAGTCATTCACTTTGAAATCCACTATGAATTCCTGACAATTCTCATTTTTGTAAATAACCCAGTATGTATGTCTGTATGTATGTAACTGTGTATATTGGTGTGTGCCTCTGTATGTGACAGTGTATGTGAATGTGCACATGTCTATATATGTATGAGATATGACCTGTGGATTTATATATATGTGTATTAATTTGTTTGGGGTGCATACATCACTGTACATATACAGCAAACTGAAATAAGGAAAACTAATGTGTGTAATTGTGTGATTTATGTATGTTGTAATTTAAAACGCGGAGTGCTGGACTTCCTTGTTTTGTGTACCACTGTGTGTCTGTCATTGAGTGTATATGTGTATATATATATATATATATATATATATATATATATAAACAAAGCAAAAAATGAGAGCACTCCATGGATTTGGTAAATCAAATTACTGTATTCAAATAGCACAAAAAAATCGACGTTTCGACCGTCTAGCGGTCTTTATCAAGATGCTGTCATATACAAAAACCTCAAATATATACATAAACGCTTGTTAAACTTACCCAATCACCAAGTGCTCCCTGTGTGTCCAATCTGCCATATGTGAAGCGTTATGTTATATATTTGGATATATAGCCAGGAATGGCTAGAAACGATTGCTCATATAGGGACTCAGTTAGAAAGACTGGTGTATTGGTACTGTGGACCTGTGTAGCCTAATAGAGCTAACTCAAATACTACCTAACTCCTTATTAAATTGGGAACCCTAGCTGGGAAAGCCATGTGTGTTGCCAAATCACAAACCTAAACAATAAGAACAGGCATCAATTACAGAAAACAGGCTGGCTTAGCATAATGTGAGTTGTCAGTATATAACAGAGAGTGTGTGTGATGTTGACCCTTTATCTACTGGGGTCCATTTATAGTGTAGAGTGATCAGCATGTGTGTGGTGATGCTGATCACTCTACTCTTGATTTATTTCACCACACACATGCTGATCACTCTACACTATAAATGGACCCCAGTAGATAAAGGGTCAACATCACACACACTCTCTGTTATATACTGACAACTCACATTATGCTAAGCCAGCCTGTTTTCTGTAATTGATATTGTTTATTTGGCAACACACATGGCTTTCCCAGCTAGGGTTCCCAATTTAATAAGGAGTTAGGTAGTATTTGAGTTAGCTCTATTAGGCTACACAGGTCCACAGTTACACCAGTCTTTCTAGACCACAGTTGCTCAAACGGTGATTTCACCACACGACTTTTTTTTTTGCGGCTTCACTCATATGGCTTGGACACACAGGGAGCACTTGGTGATTGGGTAAGTTTAACAAGCGTATGTATATATTTGAGGTTTTTGTATATGACAGCATCTTGATAAAGACCGCTCGGTCGACTCCATGGAGTGCTCTCATTTTTTGCTTTGTTTATAGTATTTTGCACAGAGAAGCACCTGGTATGTATTATTATTTGGGAAGAGTGCCAGAAATTGTATAGTTTCTATATATATATATATATATATATATATATATATATATATATATATTTATATATATATATATTATTACCCCTACCTGGTATATACTTTTTGATGCATAGATGATTATAGATATTTTTTTTTTTTTTCACTGACCAATCAGTTTGGCAACCTGTATTTATTTATTAATTTTTTTTTTCACATTAGCCAGTATCTTGATATTTACTCTACATTACTATACTTATTTCCAGGAGATGCAACTAGCCTCAGGGCTTTGTCCTCACTGAGATTATTTGGCATCTATTTTTTTGGGTTTATCATTGCATTGGGGTTAAGCCCCTGGAGTCTCATCTCGGTACTTAAGACTAGTGGTTACACCAGGCACGATTATCGTAGGGTATAGTGCTTGTGGTAGTACCCACTGTCTTATTTTCTGTTCTTTTTTTGGTAAATTGTATCATGTTTTATCTTGCAATCGACTTGTTGCAAAAAAAAATTTTTCAAAAAATAGCTGATTTTATTATTTATGCAGCGCTGTACAATGGGTGGACGAACAGATCTGTATTTGTAACCAGACGAGTTGGACAGACAGGGACAGAGGGATTAAGGGCCCTGCTCCATGAGCTTACATGCTAGAGGGAGTGGGGTATAGTGACACAAAAGGTAAGGGTAGGGTATAATAGTAGGTTAGGATAGTATTCCCTGAGGGGTTATTGTTTGGTTTTTATGAAAGTTGTAGGAGAGGAATCTGGGCGCAGAGAGAGAAAGCTGTCACCGTTTAATTGATATTTTTTCCTGAAGTAAGTCTTCAAAGATTTATTTTTTTGAACGAGTGGAGACTGGATGAAAGTCTAACGGAGAAGGAAAGGAGTTCTATAGGAACAGTGCAGCCCTAGAGAAGTCTTTAAGGTGAGCATTAGAGGTGGGAGTATGAACAGAGGTTACACATAGGTCTTCGGCAGAGCGCAGGGGCCTAGACGGGACATATTTGTGTATTAATAGGTAGTTAAGAGCAGCATTGTGTAGAGATTTGTAAGAAACTACCTGGATCTTAAATTAAACCCTATATCTTACGGAAAGCCAATGTAAGGACTGACAGAGGGGTGAGGTGCGAGTGGACAGGAAGATCAGCCAACATTCATCAAACTGTAATGGGGCAAGTTGGGAACGCGCAAGACCACTGAGAAGCGGATTGCAGTATCAAGGCGAGAGAGGACAGGGCATGGACAAGCACCTTAGCCTTATTAGGCGTTAAATAGGGATGGAAGCAGCAGGATTTGATTTGTTATATATTTGTGTGTGTGTGTGTGTGTATAATATATATATATATATATATATATATATATATATATATATATATATATATGTATGTGTGTGTTTCTCAGCTGTAATGTTATTGATTGTTCTATCACTTTTTCCTGCTATATTGGCTAACCAGGAATTTGTAAAGTCTTTGTCTTCAGTAATTTCTTCAAATGGCAGTGCAGGAAAAGTGCTACATGCCAGTATGTAGAGTTTGTTTTTATTTGCTTCCAGAAATTTAGCTGTTGACCCCTTAACGCCGGAGAGCGTACTATTACGTCCTATTTTAAGCGTCTCTAAACGCCGCCGGGCGTAATAGTACGCCCTCCGTTTTTTGGTTTTTTTTGTACTTACCCGGTCGCCGGCGATCCCACGCCGGCGATCGCGTTTGGGGGGACTCCCAGGGAGCCCCCCGCGGCACATCAGACGTCCTGAAGTCCCCCTGCTGGCTGAAAATAAAATAATGTTAAAAGTGTAAAAAAATAAAAAAATTATATACTTAGATTATATATATATGTGTGTGTATATATATATATATATATATATATATATATATATATATATATATATTCTCTACATTACTATACTTATTTCCAGGAGATGCAACTAGCCTCAGGGCTTTGTCCGCACTGAGATTATTTGGTTTATCATTGCATTGGGGTTAAGCCCCTTGAGACACCATACACACACACACACACACACACACACACACACACACTGTCTAGGTGTATTTTAATATATATATATATATATATATATATATATATATATATATATATATATATATATATATATATATATATATATATATATATATTTTTTTTTTTATATCAAATTACACGTAGACTGATACTGATTAAATATATATAATTATATATATATATATATATTTATATATAATATAAAAAAATTTAAAAATAAATAATTAAAAAATATATAGATGTGTTATTTCGTTCTAACTGTATTGTGATATTAATATAAATATATTTATATCAAAATACATGGAGAACGAAATAATATATATCTATATACATAAATATATACGTATATATCACTATAGATATACCTATATATAAATAAAAATATTTAAAAAAATATATATATTAATTCTACATATATATTTATGTAATATTTTTACATAATTAGGTATCTTAATTAATTACAATTAGCGGGACCTGCCTGACAACCCATGCCAAAAGTAAAGGGAATTTAATTTGCTAGCACTATATTTAACCCTATAACTTTCCAAGACACCATAAAACCTGTACATGGGGGGTACTGTTCTACTCGGGAGACTTTGATGAACACAAATATTAGTGTTTCAAAACAGTAAAATGTATTACAACGATGATTTCGCCAGTAAAAGTGAAGTTTTTTGCATTTCTCACGCACAAACAGCACTTACATGGATGATATTATTGCTGCGATACTTTTTACTGTTTTGAAACACAAATATTTGTGTTCAGCGAAGTCTCCCGAGTACAACAGTACCGCTCATGTACAGGTTTTATGGTGTTTTCAAAAGTTGCAGCGTCAAATATAAGGCTTGTGTTTCATTAAAATTTGCCAGATTGGTTAGGTTGCCTTTGAGACCCTATGGTAGCCCAAGAATGGAAAATACCCCTATGATGGCATACCATTTGCAAAAGAAGACAACCCAAGGTATTGCAAACTGGGTATGTCCAGTCTTTTTTAGTAGCCACTTGGTCACAAACACTGGCCAAAATTTGTCGTTTTTTGCATTTTTCACAGACAAACAAATACTAACGCTAACTTTGGCCAGTGTTTGTGACCAAATGGCTACTATAAAAGACTGGACAATACCCCATTTGCAATACCTTGGGTTGTCTACTATTGCAAATGGTATGCCATTATGGGTGTAAATTTCATTCCTAGGCTACTATACAGTCTAAAAGGCAACGTAACCAATCTGGCGAATTTCAATTTCAAATGTAACGTGTTATATTTGACCCTGTAACTTCCCAAAACGCCATAAAACCTGTACATAGGGGGTACTGTCTTACACGTGAGACTTTGCTGAATACAAATATGTGTATTTTATATTTTATTGCAGTAAAGCAAACAGTATTATGATATTGACAGTTAAAATGTCATGTAGAACTAAAAAAATTTTTTTAAAATCTCATTTTCTCCCATGTTTTTCATATTAAATTATGTTTCATAGCTAAATATTTGATATTAAATGAAAGCCCTGTTTCCCCTGAATAAAATGATATATGATAAGGATGGGTGCATTTACTATGAAAGAGGTGAATTATGGTTGGACAGACATGTAGTGCAAATGCCAGGTTTTGTTTACATTTTGTTTTGTTCACAACGTGTACATTTGGCTCCGTCCTTAAGGGGTTAATCGGTGATTGAAATAGAACCCAACTTTAGGCAGCTTATGAATTTAACATATAACTTGGCATAATTTGAATCAGGCAGGTAAAATTGCAGATTTGGGACCCAAAATAAAGTGGCATTTACACCTCTATGGGTCTTCTTTATACCATTTAACAATCAACTAATTATCTTTATACATGTGGTACTATGAAATTTAAATTAAACTTATATTACAAAGCTAAAAAGAACTACATTGCATTGTCTGATGTGAAAAGTAATTATTTTGCTTTTATCGTCTATGTAGTCATTACTACATGATTTAGTAAAATTGTGCAGACTGTAATATATAGCCGTGTTCAAAGGATCAGCATTGAATCTGTACATTCAGAAAATAGTAATTGCATCAATAAAGTTGTTTTTTTAAATGTCCTCCTTGGTACAGTCATATACGGCTTCTAACTAAAGACTGGAAATCAATCTGTCTTTTCATTTGAATCGTAAAGGTCATTTTATTTAACTTGTAGAGAAATTGATCAGCCCTGTTGAGTGGATTTCTGACCTGCAAACAAGCACAAACGTGTCTTGTTCCAAAAAGCACATGACATTATTACAGTATTTTACAATAGGGCTTTACTGCCTGAGCTGGTAATGGGGCAATGATTCTGCAGGCTAGAATACAAACATCTGCCATATTTAGGGTTGCAATGAGCCCTGGGCCAAAATTCTCAACTGGTTCACTCTCTAGTTTTAACCATGCAAGGCTCTCTGTGTCAGCAGAAGAGAAAAATAACTGCTTCTATTTTTACATCTGCTGGAATCCTGAACACACACCCTTCTGGTGTCAGTGCGCATTACTCATTTAAAGGCAGGCCTCTTTTATGTAATAAAATGTTTTGATGGAGCTCTGCTGCCCTCTGTTGTTAGTGAAGCTGCCTTTTAACAATAATGTATGTTTAGTTTTCTTTAAGTTGGGGAACTCTGTTAATATTAAAATGGATGCAAAAGTTAAATTCAACACATTAAGTACCACCTCTTGAGCAATGTGTTGGTTCCCACTGGCATTTGGTGCTTGGCTTCTATAAAACGTGGACTAGGAAGTGAAAATATATAACTTTGCAAGTATGTATGTGTGTGTATACATGTGTTTATATTTTTTGTATTTATTTCCATGCAGTAAATATAGTATTTTGTGTTGCTGAATAACTAGTTGTATGTGTGTACATATATATATACACACACACACACAATTAAAACAACAAACTTTTCAGTCCACTGCTTGTGGAGGTATGTTTAAAATGTTCTGCTTTTTTACATATTATTTGCTACTATCAGATGATTAAGTTCATAGATGTAATGTACCTGGATAGAGTCCATATTTCAGCTGTCTCCCCTATGTACATATGGTTAATGCTGTTAGTACTGTTCACTTCCCTGGGAAGAATATTATTCCTCGTTAATTTATTCCACTCCTGCTGATCTGTTTTGGCTACTTCAAAAGCCTGAGAAGTAATAAGAGTTAATAGAAGACAATTATTTATGCAGTGGTTTTTTTTAGGTTTTAATAAAGAAAATGATGGCTTGGAGCACAGAAGATGTCAAGATAGACTTTCTCCTGATGCACGTGAACAAATCCACAGCCCTTCAGGCCAAAGGTATTACTATATTATCTACTGAAATCTATGTATCATTATTTTCCATGATTAATTGCAACTTGTAACACCAGATTATTCAAGTTAAACTTGAAATAGCAAAGTTGCTATTATGGTTTAAAATGTGTATTCTGGTTGTCAATTCTCTGCAAATAAACAGATTAGGGAAATAACTTGCTGTTTAAGACTCTCTAAAGCACTATCATTGTAGAACTGTTATTTTTCCAACTAATAATTGATGTATTCATTTTTGAAGGAAACAAATGATGGACACTAAAAGAGACCCCCGATCTCCAAATCTTTTGCTGGTCACAAAGGATTATGGCTTGAAAGATATGTACATGAACAAATCAGGTGATCCTCATGACAGTTTGAACCAGATAAATTCCATCTACTCTGAAAATTGTCTGCCTCATGACAGTTCTTCAGTTCTAAGAGACATGCCAGGAGCCACAGTAAAAGTGCATTCTACCAACGGATTCATGAATTCCACAGTGCAACATCCTTCTGCCGTTTCTTTAACCACAAGCTCTCCTCAACCATACTCACAAAATAGGCTGCAGTACATGAACTCAAATGTTTTTCAATTTGGTGAAAGTCAAACCTGCAGCAGAGATGAAACCTCCTCTATGGATAATCACAATGCAAGCATTTTACCACCTCCACTACCCCCGAAAAAATACCGTAATGCTATGCCAAGAACCGAACAAAATGTTGTACCAACAATGAATTCTAAACTTGCAGAAACATATTCACAAGCTCAGACCCCACTGGATACACGTTTATCTAATGATTTAATGAGGCCAGAGACTGAGACAGATTACTATCCAAGGAAAGATACATTTCACAACAATGAACTTCATATTGGCAAATCTAACATGGCTGGTTCCTCTATGTGTGAGTGTCGGTCGAAAATGGTTCCACATGACTTGGGATTAGATCCAGTTTCCCCTAATGGAAACGATACAGTTTCACTGACTACTTATTTTTCTGTTGACAACTGCATGACAGACACGTACAGGCTGAAATATCACCAGAAGCCTAGGATGTATATGCCAGAGAATGCAGTTTATAATAGGGACCCCTTCCATCTACCAGAAGCTGCACTAGAACCAGCATATCGCACGACATTTGACCACACTCATCCTTCATTGGTTTCGCGATCTAAACAGTCAGTAGGAAATATACCTTGTAATAGGTAAACCTAAACATTTTTGGTACTGAAGAATAATATTCAGTGGCAGTTTTTTTGCACACAGATTGAAAGTTTTGTTTGATTTTGTTTTGGTTTTTACCCCAAGCACTGGCCCATGAAGATCCAGTAAAGTATAAGCACATACTGCTTAAGTGTGTTTTATCTTCTGTAGTGGGGACAGTGCATTATATCATGTTGATTTGTATTTGAGCATCTCTGTATGCGTGGCTTCAACAAAGGAATTTTTAAATAAAGTGAAACATACAATTAATGTTCTTAAGTAGGAAAATACATTTCAAAATGCAAAAAGTGAATGAAACATGCCTTTAACATGGCAGAGCTGTAACTGTGTCTGTATTGGACTTATTATGTAAATCATTGTGGATAGTGATAACATATGCAGCTATAGTTATTGTTGGAAGTCTTAATTTAGTGAGGTTCGAAGAGGGGTCCATTTTGAATGACTATCAGTTATTAAAAAATGAAGAAAAATCTGTTCCTGCCCAAAGGCCAAACTAAATAGCTCATGGCTATTGGATCGGAATTGCAACAGCATAGAGGCCCAACTTCCTGTTTTTATTAATTTTTTGGGTTGTGAATGAGATTGTGGCTATTGGGGTGGCTATTGATTATGGGAAAGCTAGTTCAAAGCTGGAGTGCTAGGTAGATATTGGCCATTGCAGATCTAGCATGTTCAAATGACTTGTGCAGTCGTTTAGCAGATACATGATTCTCAGAAAGTTAAATGGCACACAAAAGAATACAAATACTCTCCCTTATGGTAAAAGTGAACCCTTCGTGGTCTCCATTGCTGTATAAACTTGTAAATATTGAAAATTGCATATGCAGTGTTAAATTATAATACTCTGTGCATTTTTATGTCTACAAGATGAGTTAAGACTGGAACCTGGAAAGGTCTGCGGTAACAATGGTTTGATATCATAAAGTTTTTATGTAGTTCTCAGGTTATGGCTTTGGCAGTGACTTGTGTTCAATGCCTGTGCTTTCTTCGGGTTTTCCCTGGAGATGCAGGAGATTTAGTCAGGTTTTCTCTGGACACTCTTTAATTGATAAAATAAAGTTTTGGGGGGTTTTTTGTTTAGTTTTTTTAGGTAGTTCTCAGGATATGGTCATGGCAGGGGCTTATCTGTGCATTGTATCAGGGATTTCTTCAGGTTTTCCCTGGAGACACAGGAGATCCTTCCAGGTTTTCTCTAGAAACATGTGAATTTATATAATAAAGCTTTTAGATAGTTCTCAGGACATGGTCGTGGCAGTCATGCCTGGGTTTGCTTCAGGTTTTCCTTGGCGATGCAAGAGATCACAGCTAATGGGTGTAGGATTGTTACTATATCTATGCCAATATCCCCTTTAACCCCTGTCCTGATATTAAACATTAGTATTTAAGCCATGCATCTGCCAGCAGTTTATTCTCCTAAACTCAATTTCCAGCATATATATGATTGCAATTAATGTGGAAGGATTATGGACCCTAGATCCCAGATCCTAGTATAAAAATCTAGCCTAGGTATGCCAGACAGGCATATGAAAGCACTGATTATTCTAGATTAATTATGGAAGTCATGCATCTTTTAACGCAAGCAAACATGCCTAATTGAAATAACGTGATTATTTCATTAGAAATTGAAAGCATCAATTCCCTTTGGTCTTAATCCACGTGGGACTATTCCCAAATCTTCAGTTTTACACATTTGTTTGTAAACACTACAGACTTTATATTATGTTATGACTATTTGTTAAATGAAATAAAGTATTGGTCAAGGTAATAGCCAAAAGACCGCTTTATTGGAGCAAAAGCAACAACGTTTAGACCCTGTAGGTCTTTATCAAGCTTGATAAAGACACATTGTGTTGAAATGTTGCTGCTTTGGCAGTCACTTTATTGTTTTAACTTATTACAATAATTTTCTTTTTTAATTCACATACTTCTGTTACTGTGATTGTGTTTAACTGGAATATTAGTTTGAAACGCTGGCACATATTTTGTAATGGTAACTGCATTGAAAATCGACCTAACTGGGCCTCCCTCTTCCTATAGTCAGACAAATTGCCCATGAATCATGTTAAGTGAAGATTAAAGTAACACTAAACTCTTTCCCACATTTTGATAGAAATTAAAGTGTCACTAGGCAGATGTGTTTACATGCAAACCAAACTACAGTTTTTAGATGTTTAGATCACTTTTTCTTTGTAGAGAATACACTCCATTACCAATGAACCCAGAAAGCTCAGCTTTGAGAAACTGGAAGGCTTTAAAGAATCAAAAAGACAGATTTTTTTTTTTTTCTTGTATAAAAAGTTGGATGTTAATCTTTGTATGGCTTTGCTTCTGTGCCTATTTAATATAAATATAAATATATTTTATATATGTTCTAATGTTGTATAGATTTGTATTACATGAAATCTATTTTAAAATGGCTTGTAATATAAAACACTGAACACATTTCATATCTTTTTCTGTATGGATATTTTTACTGCCTTTATATATTTTTTTTCTTTTCTTGTTATTTCATTGTACTTGGACCTTTTTGTGTTACTGTTACACATTTTGTAAACATTTTGTACATTTGAAGTTTGGCAAGAATATTGTGATATTAGATGGAAAACTATGTGCAATATTTAATGATAAACTGCTTTTTAGGGTGAATAACATACTAACCACATGGGCCTTATGTTTGTATAAATGTTAACCCTTTTACATTGAACATTTGCTGTTCCCACCTGGAACCAGCACAGTTCCTAATACACCCCCTCTGCTCATGGGTGCTTCTCAGAAAGGATACTTTTGATACCCCCCCTAGCCCTATGATTTGATACTTTCCGTTGACTGTAATGATGTTACAACATCATTGAGAAAGGCTCACTGGAATATAATAAGTGAACCTTAGCATGTTGAGGGCTTCATCCCAGGGGACAACTATCGTCACATCCCTTAGTGTGCAATGTAGAAGATCAGGAACAATCATATGCTGATACTGTGGGAAAAGGTAATGACTTTATTGGGCCACAGTACCCAGGACATTGAATGCTTCAGCCTGTTTGTCATTGATCATATTGTTCCTTATCTTCTCTGTAGTGACTACACAATTGTTCCCCCTTCCTGTAGCCCAATAGCTGCTTTGGCAAACAAAATGGAAATGCAAAATATGGATCTTGCTGGCTAAACTTACTTGGCTCTGCAAATTTGCACTACAAATACTATGGACATTTGTTTCATAGTAAACTTTATTTGCTAGGACAATTGATATATAAAGTAGGCAAACAATTAATTTCAAAGATTCAGAAGCCTAGTTGTTGTGCGATTGTTGGTTTATTCTTATTTCAATAGAGCTGCTTAACACTTGTGTCAACATGTGAAGACAATCAAATAAGAAATTTATGTTCATGTATTAAAATATTTTTTTAAACAATAAGTCTTGGTTGTGATTCTTTCATAGCTCTAGTCAATATTGGCAAATTGTTTATAGAGTGCAGATATATTCTGTTTGGGGCCATACTAATTCATAGAATGATCATTTTTATTATCAGGAAATATAATAGTTCACATACAAAAGCACAATTATATATTCATCCTGAGAATTAATGCCCATTTTAATGCATGACAATACCTTACTGGCCTTAGAAACTGCTGACATTACACATTGTTGTCCATACCAAATTCCCAAACCCTTCTTGTTTTTTATCCCTAATTTACTACCATTTAGAGTGTATGTTGCTTGTGCTAAGTGTTATGTTTACATTTATCTACATTTAATTTAATATGCTGTTTGAGTGCAGAGTCTCCAAATTTATCTAAGTCCCTCTGCAGCAAACCAATATCCTGCTCACATTGTATTACTTTACAGTTTAGTGTTGTATCATCCACAAACACTGAAACATGACTATCAATGTGTATTTCCAGATCATTTATAAATGTTTACTAGACGTGGTCCCAAAACAGAACCACTTACCAATTTTCTAGCTTGAAAATTTTCCATTAATGACAACTCTGTACTCCATCTAAGAACAAGAATTGTCGCCTATTCCAATTCTTTTATGGGGCCTTGACCACAGGAAGGGGGGTGACGATGAGGAGGGTAAAGAAACTCCTCCCTTCGCAGGCTTGATTGGACATTTGGAATTACCCATTCACAGTCTGACGTTACTCTGGGGGGTTTGGATAGGAGATGGGGGAGGACAAATCTGAAATTACTCCCACATGCTCGAAGGTTTATACTTGATGTGACATACTGATCTCTTTGCTTTGTTTAGAGCTTTATTTTTTTTTTTTTGGTTTTAAATTTAAAAATAAAAAATATAGGCATGAGTAAAAGGAGGAAACAGGGAAGTGTGGACTGAAAAGATTTTAGGTAAAAGAGACCAAAAGGTAGAAACTTATGAACAGCTAGGACATTTTCTCTAATAAAAACTTATTTAACACAAAACAAGTTGAGCAAATATCATTCCAGCCTGCTGTCCAGTTTGCACAGCACACACAAGATTCTGACGGAGAATAAGGTCTTTGTCAGAATAGTGAGACCCAATACATAGTGTTTATGGCAGCTGGGCTTTATGTAGGCAGACAGACAATAGGCAAGGAAACCAGAAATAGCGAACCAAGACCAAAATAGCTATTTATAGTGTGGCTCTTTTATAAGTAGCCATGCCTCCAGAACGTGCGGGAACATTGAGTGATGATTCATGACCTCATCGGCATCAACAGCTGGTGTTCAGAAACTCTAGGGAGATTGGAAGAGCCCTGAGAGTAGTCGTAGGTAGATCTCAGACCTAAAGGAGGACGTGCCCAAGCAGCCTGGATGCAAGGTACCCTGACAATCCTGGACCTTTTGAAGTCATGACTCTTAGGGCGATAGGACTGCTTGTTTTAATATACCAGAGGACCATGTGATGGACTTTTTGACAGCATTGGTGAAGTTATTTTATGCATATTTCACAATATTATATAGCGCCAACAGCTTTATATATAGGGTGGACAAACACTTAATTGTATACATATATTTTATTTGTGTCTTTAAAAACCTTTTGATTCAATAATCAAATAGATTGTACCGCAATCCTTTTTTTTTTTTTCTCTAACCTGTTTTTCTTTTATGAGCTCCCTTGAGATATCGGACGGTGAGGATTTCACCATTATACAGGTGTATGTATATATATATATATATATATGTGTGTGTCTCAAAAAAATAAAGGGAACACAAAAATAACACATCCTAGATCTGAATTAATTAAATATTCTTCTGAAATACTTTGTTCTTTACATGGTTGAATGTGCTGACAACACAATCATACATAAATTAAAAAATGGAAATCAAATTTTTCAACCCATTGAGGTCTGGATTTGGAGTCACACTCAAAAAAAAAAAAACACACTACAGGCTGATCCAACTTTGATGTAATGACCTTAAAACAAGTCAAAATGAGGCTCCATAGTGTGTGATGCCTCCACGTGCCTGTATGACCTCCCTACAACGCCTGTGCATGCTCCTGATGAGGTGGCGGATGGTCTCCTGAGGGATCTCTTCCCAGACCTGGACTAAAGCATCTGCCAACTCCTTGACAGTCTGTGGTGCAACGTGACGTTGGTGGATGGAGCGAGACATGATGTCCCAGATGTGCTCAATTGGATTCAGGTCTGGGGAACGGGCGGGCGAGTCCAGAGCATCAATGCCTTTGTCTTGCAGGAACTACTGACACATTCCATCCACATGAGGTCTAACATTGTCTTGCGTTAGGAGGAACCCAGGGCCAACCACACCAGCATATGGTCTCACAACGGGTCTGAAGATCTCATCTCGGTACATAATGGCAGTCAGGCTACCTCGGCCGAGCACATGGAGGGCTGTGCGGCCCCACAAAGAAATGCCACCCCATACCATTACTGACCCACTGCCAAACTGGTCCTGCTGGAGGATGTTGCAGGCAGCAGAACGTTCTCCACAGCGTCTCCAGACTCTGTCACATGTGCTCAGTGTGAACCTGCTTTCATCTGTGAAGAGCACAGGGCGCCAGTGGCGAATTTGCCTATCTTGGTGTTCTCTGGCAAATGCCAAACGTCCTGCACAGTGTTGGGCTGTAAGCACAACCCCCACCTGTGGAAGTCGGGCCCTCATACCTCCCTCATGGAGTCTGTTTCTGACCATTTGAGCAGACACATGCACATTTGTGGCCTGCTGGAGGTCATTTTGCAGGGCTCTGGCAGTGCTCCTCCTTTTCGTCCTTGCACAAAGGCGGAGGTAGCGGTCCTGCTGCTGGGTTGTTGCCCTCCTACGGCCTCCCACGTCTCCTGTTGTACTGGCCTGTCTCCTGGTAGCACCTCCATGCTCTGGACACTATGCTGACAGACACAGCATACCTTCTAGCCACAGCTCGCATTGATGTGCCTTCCTGGATGAGCTGCACTATCTGAGCCACTTGTGTGGGTTGTAGACTCCGTCTCAGGCTACCACTAGAGTGAAAGCACCGCCAGCATTCAAAAGTGACCAAAACGTCAGCCAGGAAGCATAGGAACTGAGAAGTGGTCTGTGGTCACCACCTGTAGAACCACTCCTTTATTGGGGGTGTCTTGCCAATTGCCTATAATTTCCACCTGTTGTCTATCCCATTTGCACAACAGCATGTGAAATTGATTGTCACTCAGTGTTGCTTCCTAAGTGGACAGTTTGATTTCACAGAAGTGTGATTGACTTGGAGTTACATTGTGTTGTTTAAGTGTTCCCTTTATTTTTTTTTGAGCAGCAACTTTCACTAGTAGTAGAATATTTGTGATCCTCTTCAGCTTCTCACTTTGTTTATAATAAGAAATCCAGGCCAGAAACCTTTAATTCAGTACTAAATTGCTCGGAAATGATTTCTTAACGCCAGGGTAATCCAGGCACCATTCTTTAATTAGATGAAATTACAGTGTTGTGTACCTTTCATCCATTCCTCTGCCTCTTCTAAAAAACATATTTAAGGGACACTCCACACCTCTAAATCACTTTAACTTGTTGAATTGGTTTATATATTTTCCCCTTCATTATACAAAAGTGCAGATTTCAATAGAAATTGGCATAGTTATAGATTAACCCTGTTACAGCAATAGATGTCAGATACCCAGTCTTGTTACTCCCTGTATTTTTAGTTCAGTGGAGCTAAACTCAAGAGGGTGAGAATTGCTTAGAGCACCTGCCTTGCAAAGACTTTTCATTGAGCTGCATTGGGAAGTCTGATTTGGCAGCCACAGAACGTCTGGGTAATGTTAGAAGGGGATCTGTAGCTTTGAAAAGCTGATTTTAGATTATACCACCAATGAAAAATGCATGCATATTTGCATTGGTATATATCTACTAAACATTGATTAGACCGGTAAAACTCATCTTTCCCTGAACTCCAGTCACCTCACTGCAAGCAGCAAAGTCACCATCAATGGGCTCTGCAAATTATGCAGACCCCAGAAGGTGACAGAGCCACTTTAGCCATTTACAGATTAAATCTCATTCATGTTCTTGTAGAGTTCTGTGACACTAATTACTTTTTTTTTTGCCTGACATTTATGAATTTCCTTGACTCGTAAGGATTAACACATATGGCCATATGTTATATGATTTTTAGAAGGCAGAAGAGGTTTTAGAAAATCTTTAATCCAAGGGTGGATTACAATTATTCATAAATAACATTCTATATCCGAGAGGGCAACAGCATCTGCTTTTCTTAAAAACTAAACTATCTAAACATTAATTTTTAAGTTAGGTAGTTACTATGAAATTATAAGCACTATGACCTCTTCAGTGACATGGATTGGTCATGGGACTTGGGAGTCTGTAAAACTCCAAGCTACGAAAAGCTGAAAATACAGAGTTTTTCCCCTATGCTGTCTAATATGTAATTCCACCTCCGGCAACTTTGTTGGGGTGTCACTAGCCAACTCGGAACAAGACTACTGTGCTATTTAATGACAATTTCTATGCATAGAATGTCACTCATTGGCTGAGAGACGTTGACAATTGCAGCTAATGAATGAAGACCGGATCAGTACCCATCTTCATAGTGCTTTGCCCTATTACTGGGGAACAGGGCCAGAGTACTCCAAACATTATAACCACTACAGTGGGCTAGGGTGGTCATGATACTTGGAGTAACCATTGAACAGCAGACAAATTGACATAACATTTGCAGGGATTCAGATTACTTTATGCTGAAGAGAATGTATAAAATGTCCTTTGGAATACAGTGTTTCTGCCAAGAAAGTTTCTTTCTGGGAGGATTTTTTTTTTTTTCTCTAATCAATATCAACAATAGAAATGGCATTATTTGATATTCACCCACCAAAAATAACTCATGGCATTACATTTACGGCTTAAATGATATTTAGAATTTAGACCTGCCATAGCTCTTATAACTAGGGCTTGGAAAACTCTTCCACGCTCTTTTCCTTCTCTAAGCACAGTAGATAGTTTAATTACTTTGGAGTCTCCATGCTGTGTTCCATCACACAGATCAAGCCCAGGTTAGTTAGGTACGCAATTGTTTTCATTCACAGGTTTTATTTTATTCTGCTTGGACAAGTCTGGCAAGAGGATAGCTGAAATACACCTACTTAAAGGGACACTCCAGGCACCCAGACCACTTCTGCCCATTGGAGTGGTCTGGGTGCCAACTCCCACTACCCTTAACCCTGCAAGTGTAATTATTGCAGTTTTTTTAATAAACTGCAATAATTACCTTGCAGGGTTAACTCCACCTCTAGTGGCTGTCTACTAGACAGCCACTAGAGGGGATTTCCTGGATTATAGCACAGAAAACCTGTACTAGAGCGTCGCTGGACGTCCTCACGCTGTGTGAGGACCTCCAACGTCGCTCAATTCCCCATAGGAGCGCATTCAGCCAGTCGCATAGGAAAGCATTCATATGGAGGCTTGCATGCTCTGTGTGATTTTCACATTAAGTTGAAGTGGTCTGGGTGTCTAGAGTGGTCCTTTAACCCATTGTGTGGGAGTGTCTGAGTGTATTGTACGTGTTTATTGGTGGTTTTCCAAAACCCTGTGGGTGGTACTAATGTGTATATAAGAACAATAAACCCACAGCTCTGTCTGTTCATGCTTGACCCTCAAAACGTTGCTTTGTCTCGTTCTGTGGGGGATTTATTGTATGCTGTTCCAGTTTGACTGCTAGGAGAGTAAACCTATTCGTATGGTTTTTCCTATTTGGCTGTTTACAGCATTCACATGGTTCCGGTTCAGCTGTTTACGGCATTCATATGGTTTCCTGTTCAGCAGATTGGTGTCTTTGGTAGCTGCCTGTGTATCGGGAAGGGAAATAGCGTTTAACCCCTTTTAAACAGCGTTTAACCCCTTTTATGCCGGGGTGCCGTTACACCTCGCATGCGCATTGGGTCTCCCCGGCCGGGATCAGTCTCGCCCACCAGCCGACGTAATGAAGAGGAGCAGCAGCGGAGGAAGAAGCATCGACGTGGGACATGTCGCTGCCTCTGGTAAGTTACTGAAGGGGTTTTCACCCCTTCAGCAACCGGGGATTGGGAGGGAGAGGGGACCTGCACTGCCAGGAAAACTGATTGTTTTCCTGGCACTGGAGAGTCCCTTTAACCACTTCCATTAACTAGTTCACTGGCTAAGAGTAAGAGCTAATCACTCTCAGCCAATAAGCCAAGCCCAGCACATTCTACTCAACACTAGCCATTAGCGAGTCAAATTGCTAGCCCTGGGAAGTCTAACTTCACTGGTGGTAAGTATAGTATAGCGTGCAGTAGAAAGTAACTTTCAAGGCCTGGCAACTATCATAGGACTTTACATCATAGGCCCTGTTCTATGGTATACACAAATATGAAACACTTCAGGCAATTTGCAGCATACGTATACGGAAGGAGTGAACTCAATAAGTCATATCATTTCTTTAAACCGGTACTGTCTCTCCCCCCCCCCACCACCACCCGTATCCTCCACAGAACTCAATGCTGTGCCTGTACTCAAACATATGGTTCAAGATGGCTGCACCTGCAAGGGACAGGTTCAGGTAACTAAATCTCTCCTTTATCTGCCTCCCACGCATTCCTTCGCGACGATATCACTAAATTAGAAACATTATCTTTGAAGAATGAGTGTAAAATGTATTTAGGTTACTAGGGAAATAAAAACATCACATCTCCATATGGCCTTGAATTATAATCTTTATAAAAACTTTGTGTAAGAATTAACTGAAAATCATCTTATAGAAAATAAATATTCCAAGGGTCTTCGTGTAAGAAGTGATGCCAGTCTTTCAATATCCATTTTACAATCCAACATCCATACTGTATTTCATAGAGTTACTACTCTTAATTGCAAGAGACTGTAAACGTCAAATGTTTGCAAATGAAGCCAATGAAACATTTCATGTCCAAGAGGGAAAGTCGTCTTTAGCGTCTAGAAGGTTTACAAGTGTTCTGTGGAAAAGATGAAAAAACTTTTGTTATGTTAGGACAGTATAAGGACGCATAATACCATCAGAAAACATAAGCTCATAATTTCCCCACGCACTCTTATCCATATCTTAGAGTTTGTCTTAGGAACTCCAGAGGCCAAAGCACCAACACACCCATTATCTGCAGATATATTTGATTAAAGGACCACTATAGTGCCCTGAGGGTGCCCCCACCCTCAGGGACCCCCTCCCGCCCGGCTCTGGAAGGGGGAAAGGGGTAAAAACTTACCTTTTTCCAGCGCTGGGCGGAGAGCTCTCTGCCTCCTCTCCGCCTCCGACTGAATGCGCACGCGCGGCAAGAGCTGCGCGCGCATTCAGCCGGTCTCATAGGAAAGCATTTACAATGCTTTCCTATGGACGCTTGCGTGCTCTCACTGTGAAAATCACAGTGAGAAGCACGCAAGCGCCTCTAGTGGCTGTCAATGAGACAGCCACTAGAGGATTAGGGGAAAGGCTTAACCCATTCATAATTATAGCAGTTTCTCTGAAACTGCTATAATTATGAAAAAATGGGTTAACCCTAGCTGGACCTGGCACCCAGACCACTTCATTAAGCTGAAGTGGTCTGGGTGCCTAGAGTGGTCCTTTAACAAGAAAATATTAGTCTTTATTCTTTCAGTGTCAATCACTCAACTGGTAAATGTCTGAAATTTACTAGTAAATCACATTTTTAGTTGAAGTGCTTTAGGGGTTTAGAGTGTCCCTTTAATAGTTTAAAAGGACTCTCCTGTGCCAGGAAAACAAACCCGTTTTCCTGGCACTAGAGAATCCTGGAGTGCCCCCCGCCCGCCCATCCCCCACTGCCAAGGGAGACCTAGTGCGCATTAGACCTCCTCCCCATAGGAAAGCATTATTCAATGCTTTACTATGGGGAAAATCTGACGCTGGAGGTCCGTGAGAACGTCCAGCATCAGATAACCGACCAAAGGTCAGTTAGGATTCCGAAAGCCCTCTTGTGGCTGTCTGTTATACAGCCACAGAGGGCAGACTTAGTGCTGCAATGTAAACATTGCCTTTCTCTGGAACTGGCAGCACAAAGTGCAAAAGGGTCACAGCACCCAGACCATTTCAATTAGCTGAAGTGGCCTGGGTGCCTGGAGTGTCCCTTTAAAGAACCCTGCTGATAAACACTTAGCACCTTTCAATAGTGGATGATTTTGCACAAATAACAAGCAAGTAAAGCTTTCTGCAACAGGTTAAGGCCGAATAATGGGTGAAAAGGGGCAACCAAATACATCTTCCATCATAACCATTGCAATAAAACTCAGTGGTCATATTTCTTAAAAGAACACAGAACTGTACAGTGAGCCTGCGGTTCGAATTATGGTACCTAGAATGAGCTTGTGACCTTTAAGGATAAGTAGTTAAACCGTTTATGCATGGTTGGATACCTTATCTAGTGTCCGCTGAGAAAAGCCTTGCCTGGAGTCAGAAGCTCCATTAGTTCTACCAAGTATCACTGTGGTGCTGAGCTCAGGGTTGACCACTTACCCTAGGGAGTCAGGGCCCTATAACCGCTACTGCATGCTGTAGTGGTTATGGTGCTTGGCATTTCCTTAAATTGAAACTAAAGTTACAATCATTGAACATAAAGCTGCATAGCTGAGAGAGACTGTCTGCAGCTATATGCTGTCCATTTCATCACAAGGAAGAAGCTCCCCCAATGAGGAGGCTTATTCTACTCTTTGGGGTTTGATCCAATCCAATCCAATAACCCTCTGTCAGCAGGGTTTTATGGGATGAATAGAATTGAGACTGGGGGATAAACTATTCATCACATAATATAAGCAAAACTGCTCAATAAACTGATACGTGCAGTACTGTGGTGGGTTGTGTTTAATGAAAAGAATATCAATTGAAAAGATAAGACTACAGGACCAGGGTCCTTATATCATTACTGCTTCAGTAAGCTGAAGTAGTTTGGTGGCTAGACTAATAATTTAAAGTGTAATGAACTGGTGTGTTCATAGTCAGACAGCCATACCACAAGTCCACAGCAGTGGAAGTGGGAGAGATTAGCCATCTCTTCCAGATTTAATAAACAGCAATATATTTAAGCATTGTAACTATAGTGGCTCTTCCCTCTTCTGTCACTTACCTTGTCCCTTAGCCCTGGCATTGCCTTTGCGCCACTCCCACTGTCAGCCGGCGGTGTAGACCTAATGCGCAAGTGCGGCAATGGCCATGCTCGCATTAGAACAGCCCCATAGGAAAGCATTATAAAATGCTTTCCTATGGGGTTTCCGGTGACTCTGGATGTCCTCATACTATGTCCAGCATCATGTGAACAAAAAGTTGCCCAACGACCTGGATGTCCCTCTAGTGGTTGTCTGGTAGACGGCCGCTAGGGGTGGAGTTAACCCATAAAGGTAATTATTGCAATTAATTAAAAACTGCAATAATTACCTTTCCAGGTTTAAAGGACCTAGGAATATACACCCACACCACTTCAATGAGCTGAAGTGGTCTGGGTGCCTCTAGTGTCATTAAACAGTATAGATCTGATACTGCAAGCACTAAATATGTTTCCCAGCTGAGAGAGACAGAGAGCCTGGGTTCACGTAAGGTAACTTGAGAGAGAGCCTGGGTTCACGTAAGGTAATTTGAGAGAGAGCCTGGGTTCACGTAAGGTAATTTGAGAGAGAGCCTGGGTTCACGTAAGGTAATTTGAGAGAGAGCCTGGGTTCACGTAAGGTAATTTGAGAGAGAGCCTGGGTTCACGTAAGGTAATTTGAGAGAGAGCCTGGGTTCACGTAAGGTAATTTGAGAGAGAGCCTGGGTTCACGTAAGGTAATTTGAGAGAGAGCCTGGGTTCACGTAAGGTAATTTGAGAGAGAGCCTGGGTTCACGTAAGGTAATTTGAGAGAGAGCCTGGGTTCACGTAAGGTAATTTGAGAGAGAGCCTGGGTTCACGTAAGGTAATTTGAGAGAGAGCCTGGGTTCACGTAAGGTAATTTGAGAGAGAGCCTGGGTTCACGTAAGGTAATTAGAGAGAGAGCCTGGGTTCACGTAAGGTAATTTGAGAGAGAGCCTGGGTTCACGTAAGGTAATTAGAGAGAGAGCCTGGGTTCACGTAAGGTAATTAGAGAGAGAGCCTGGGTTCACGTAAGGTAATTAGAGAGAGAGCCTGGGTTCACGTAAGGTAATTGGAGAGAGAGCCTGGGTTCACGTAAGGTAATTAGAGAGAGAGCCTGGGTTCACGTAAGGTAATTAGAGAGAGAGCCTGGTCCTGGGTTCACGTAAGGTAATTAGAGAGGGGGAGCCTGGGTTCATGTAATATGATTAGAGGGGGAGCCTGGGTTCATGTAATATGATTAGAGGGGGAGCCTGGGTTCATGTAATATGATTAGAGAGGAGGAGCCTGGGTTCATGTAATATGATTAGAGAGGAGGAGCCTGGGTTCATGTAATATGATTAGAGAGGAGGAGCCTGGGTTCATGTAATAGGATTAGAGAGAGGGAGCCTGGGTTCATGTAATATGATTAGAGAGAGGGAGCCTGGGTTCATGTAATAGGATTTAGCACTGGAAAGCCCAGTCTCGGGGGGTGGCGGTCCGGTCCCGGTCTCGGGGGGTGGCGGTCCGGTCCCGGTCTCGGGGTGGCGGTCCGGTCCGGTCCCGGTGGGTGTCGGTCCGGTCCGGTCCCGGTCTCCGGTCCGTAGTGGCGGTCCGGTCCGGTCCCGGTCTCGGGTGGCGGTCCGGTCCGGTCCCGGTCTCGGGGTGGCGGTCCGGTCTCGGTCCGGGGTGGCGGTTCGGTCTCGGTCTCGGGGGGTGGCGGTCCGGTCTCGGGGGGTAGCGGTCCGGTCTCGGTACTCACTCAGGGCAGCAGGTAGATGAAGATGAATAAGATCAGGTCGAAGAGAAGGAACACCCACACATCGAACCAGTATGACGGGTGAGAGATCTCCTGTAGGCAGCCCCGGGCCTCCTTCCTCCTCTTCGCCAGCTCCGACGGGTCCGGTCCGGCCTTACTGCTCCCCTGGCTCGGTTCTGGTGCCGGCCGGTGTCGGGTTGGCTCGGTCTCCATGGTGCAGAGGGGGGATTACACTGAGAGGCGGCGGCGGCCTAGGTGTGGGTATGTGAGCGGAAGCAGGCAGGGTCACGTGATGGAATGTCACAAGACCCGGGTTACCATGGTGACGGCTTGTGTGAGTGAGTCATGGAGAGGAGCGGGCTGACTAGTGGCCCATCCCTGGGGCTGTGAGACTGAGCGGCAACAGGCTGATACCATGGCTACAGCCAGATAGTGCCTGTTATGTGTTACTGACTAAGAACACCCCAATATGTGTTCAGCAACATCTCCCGAGTACAACAGTGCCCCCAATGTACAGGTTTTAAGGGTTTTTGAAAACTTACAGGGGTCAGATATAGGGCTTTTCATTGTTTGCATATTGAAATTTGCCAGATTGGATTGCTGGGCCAATGTTGCCTTTGAGACGGCATAACAGCCCAGGAATGAAAATTAACCCAGCCATGACATACCATTTTCAAATGTAGACAACCCAGGGTATTCAAAATTGGGTATTTCGAGTCTTTTGTAGTAGCCACTTAGTCATAAACGCTGGCCAAAGTTAGCGTTTTTATTTGTTTTTTGCATTTGTTTTACAAAAAAATGGTTATTTCATCGTCTTGATAGGTTTTACTGTTTTAAACACTCATATTTGTGTTGAGCGAAGTCTCCCAAGTATAACAATACCCCCCATGTACAGGTTTTGGAAAGTTACAGGGTCAGTATAGGGCTTGCCCAATTCAGTTTGCCAGATTGGTTTGCTGGGTGTGTGTTGCATTTTGAGACCCTATGGCAACCCAGGAATGTGAAATAACTCTATCGTGGCATACCATTTTCAAATATAGACAAAATAGGGTCACGTGTGTTATATATATTTATATAACAGCTTTATTTCTTGTCCTGATGAAAGCTCCATGTGGGGGCTGAAACGTTGACTTTTATATGGATTAAATATAAATTACATTTTATTTGAAAACTATCACAAAGACCTTGGAGTACGGTCCTTTCTACTATATCTATATAACGTGTGTGTGTGTATATATATATATATATATATATATAATCAGAAAAAGCAGTCAAGGCATGGACCCAGGAGGGTTGAAACGTCAATTTGTGTGTACCTCACAACTGATGTATTTTTTATGATACATTAAATAATTTTGTTTCACTAACTTCAAGACCCAGTGTGCTCCCTGGACTGCTTTTTCTGATATACATAACGCGGGATTGCACCTGGGCATTTATATAATTCTTGCATGAAGGAGGAGTGCCTTGCCTTATTTATTTTTTGGATATATATATATATATATATATATATATATATAAATAATATATACACACACGTATATAATACGTGTGTATATAATACGTGTGTGTATATATGTATATATACACACACACACAAACACACAATACATATATAAGAAATGAATTATAATTAAAGCATTTTAAAATATATTATACATATATAATGCATATATATGATTTCATTATAAGTGTATTTTAAAATATGTGTATATATATATCAAAGTACACTTCTATAATGCATATATATATATATATATATATATATATATATGATTTCATTATATGTATAATATATTATAAAGTGCTTTAATTATTTTATAATATATTATATATTTTTATTTTTTTTTACTTTTTAGCAGCCTGGGGGACTGTCTGATAGCTCAGACAGTCCCCCTGCTGGCAGCTACATAGACTCCTATTGCAGCGATTTGATTATGGTGATCACATGGCCCTGGAGGGCCAGGATGGTCGGATCTGCTGCAGTAGGTTAGGGTCATCAGAGCGCAGGGCGTCGGCGCCAGTCCACCCCGGGTTTTCCTCTCAGTCCCAGGGGGACTCCTCTAGGGTTGGTCCAGTATGGGTGCGTAGTGCTCGTCCTGTCCTATTATTGGTCGGTTTCTCCAGTCAAGTCGCTAGTGGTCCATGGCTCCCACGTTTTCTCGAACTGTGACACAGTTCCTCGAACCTTAGCCGTTAGGCTGTCCATAAGGTGTATGTCTTTTATATTATGTATAACTGCGCTCGGGGGAGGTGTTTCTACCTTCAACCATGCTTGCGCCAGAGCTCTCCTTGCTGCCAGTGTCACCTTATGTAAGAGTTTTTGCTCTCTACGTGTCCAATTGTCTAAGGGTCTATTGAGGAGAAATGTCCATGGGTTCAGGTCTGGTGCTCTGTGGAAAATGCGTTTTATGAGAGTCTGGGTCTCCTTCCAGAAGCCTTGTAGCCGGGGACATTCCCACCACATGTGGAGGTATGTACCTTTCAGGCCACACCCCCTCCAGCAGTCGTTCAACGGGGTTTTCCCCATTCGGTGTAGTGTTACTGGCGTGACATACCACCTGAGGAGCGTTTTAATTGTCTGTTCCTGGAGGGACACACACATGGACACTGAGGTGTTGGCCTCCCAAATTTCCCTCCAGTCTGTGCCCTCGAGTTCCTCTCCTAATTCCCTTTCCCATGCTTCGGTGTAGGTGAGCGTGCCCCATTCTTTTGTTTCAGAGCTAAGATGTGCATATAGTTTTGATATCAAACCTGGTTGTGTCGTTTCGTGGAGGCACATGTTTTCAAAGAAGGACATGTGCCCTCTGGCTGCATTTTGTAAATGTGGATCATTCATGTAGTCCCTAAGTTGTAGGAATCTAAAGAAGTCAGCGGGGGTGAGGTGTGTAGTCTGTCGTAGGTCGTTAAATGTGACTGGCGTATTATCCCTATACATGTGGCAGATCCTCTGTAGGCCTAGGTTAGCAAAGTCCCTGGCCACCATGCCCGGAGGGAAGGCTCTATTTCTGAGCAGAGGGATCAGTGGTGACGGATTGGAGATTAAATTGTATTTGTGGGCTGTGGCGTCCCATATCCTCAAGGAGTTTAAAATCGCTGGGCAGGTCGTTCGTAACATAATTCTATGTTCTCGTGGGACCCATATGTCATATTGGGGTAAATCCGCTCCCGTGAGTAGGGACTCTAAGTCCACCCATCTCCTCACATCTAACGGGGCGTGCCACATCGCTATCTGTGCGAGTTGGGCTGCAAGATAATAATAATATAAGTGTGGGAGGCCCAGTCCCCCCCCCCCCTTTGTTTATGTCGAAATAGGATGTTTCTCGAAATCCTATGTCTCTTGTTTTGCCAAATGAATTTTCCAATTGCTTCTTGTAGTGGGGATAGGTCGGCTTTACTGAGTTTGATAGGGAGGGCTTGGAAAAGAAATAGTATTCGGGGAAGAATATTCATTTTTACTGCATTGATGCGACCTATCCAAGAGATAGGCTTGTCTATCCATTTTCCATGTCTGATATGTGTCTTAAAGAGGGGGGTATAGTTTAGGTGATAAATATTAGCTGGGTTGTCTGGCAAGTGTATTCCTAGATATTTAATGTAGCCGCGTGCTATGGGGATGTTGTGTGCTGCTCGTACTGCCTCCGTGTCCGCCGCCGACATTCCCACTGGGATAGCGTTAGATTTGTCGAGATTGGCTCTGTACCCCGAGAAGGCTCCATATTGTGTAAGAACCTCAGCTAGTGCGTCCATTGATTCCCTTGGCTCTGTTATTGTAAGGAGGACATCATCTGCATATGCAGATACTAAAAATTCTTGGCCTCCCACCCTAACACCATTTATCCGTGGATGTTCCCTTATGGCCTGTAATAAGGGCTCTAATGATATTGCGAACAACAAAGGGGAAAGAGGACAGCCCTGTTGAGTGCCGTTTCCCAATCTAAAGGGTTGGGGCCAAGTGCCTGCGATTTTTAACTTGGGCTGTTGCGTTGCTATACATCGCTTTTATGGAAGATATGTATTTCGTCGGGAAGCCTAGATATGTTAAGAGATTAAAAAGATAGGGCCATTCTACTCTATCAAACGCTTTTTCAGCGTCTATGGATACTACTAGGGTGGGGATCCTGGCCGTTTTCTGTCTCCATATTATGTCTATGTTTCTCCTGGTATTTTCAAAGAGTTGACGATTTGGTATGAACCCTACCTGGTCTGCATGTATCAGTGTTTTCAGGATGGGGTTGAGGCGGTCCGCTAGTATTTTTGCCAAGATCTTGACTTCTTGATTAATAAGGGAAATGGGCCTGTAGCTCGCTGGTATCGTCGGGTCCTTGCCCGGTTTGGGGATAAGGATTATGTTAGCTAGGGACATCTCGTTCTCTGGGTTCCCACCTGACATAAGATTATTAAATAGTCTTGTGAGGTGGGGAGTTAACTCTTCCCGAAATGTCTTATAATATCCTCCGTCTAAGCCATCGGGGCCCGGGGCTTTGTGGCTCTTTAGGCTCGCTATGGCTCTGTCAATTTCTTCGCTGGTTATGTCTTCGTCTAGCCTGTGGATCGCGTCTACCGATAGCTTCGGTAGTTGGATATTCCGCAGAAATGTATCCATTTTATCATTCACCTCTTGTATTTGATCCACGTTTTTGGGTGTGTGATTGTATAGTGTTCTATAGTATTCCGTGAATATCTGGGCAATACTCGCCGGTGTATTCTTGATGGTGCCGTCTGTGTGCTTCATTGCTCCAATATGAGTTCGTCTCTGTCTAGGCTTTAGTACCCTTGCTAATAGGGTGTCGGTTTTGTTAGCTTTTTCGTAAAAGTTTCTCTTGGACCATATGAGATCCCGGGCGGCGGCGTCCAGCAACAGTTCAGTAATTTAAAACACACTTTTAATAATGATTTGTGTATGTGCAAATAAAAGTACTTGGATTATATATATATATATATATATATATATATATATATATATATATATGTGATCTAAGAACTTTTATTTACGTTTTAATAACTTTGAAAACGTATTTTCAGGCAGTAGGGGGGCTGCCTATTCCGGCCATGTGATCGCGAGGACCCTGCGATCACATGGCCCTGGAGAGCCGGATCGGGCAGAGCGGGTCTGCCTGAGCTCCCAGGCAGGCCCAGGATCGCCAGCGATCAGGTAAGTGGGGATTTACTAATGGACGTACCAAGTACGTCCGCAGTTATTATTGGCCGGTTTTTGTCAGATGTACCTGGTACATCCATGGTCGGGAACAGCGAAGTACACACAATCCATGGGGCCCCAGTGCGAAACTGATCCTTGGCCCCTTTACTTATGAGCGGACCAATTTAGGTCTGCATAC